CAGCCGACAAGGAACCTGACAATAATGTCAGGATCTGCCCATATGCCTGCACCAGCAGTTAGCTCAGCCTCTCAGCACTCCACTGGGAGTCTGAGCCAGCCACTCCCGCCCCTTTCACAGCTTGGCACTCCAGTGAGTACTGGAGGGGCAGAGCAGAGAGGTGGTAACTGACAGTCACTGTTCACTGAAGACTGAGAACTGAGCAATCAGCAGATCACTCAGTTCTCGGTGTAGGGTTGGTAGGGGATATCTGCAGCTCGGTTCGGTGCTGCAGCCAGCCTAGGTGAGTATGCGTGGCTTTTCTTTTTTCTTTCTGATCCCATACTTATTTTTTAAAAACATTATTTTCTGTATAGTTTACAATGTGTGTACATTGGGGAAGCCTTGCTGATTTTCTTATCTTGCTGAAAGTTTACTAGATGGGTAGTAAATCTACTTATCTTTTTTAACACTACCTTTCTTTTCTACTCGGGTTTTTAAATGAGGTCCCGAATGATTGCCTCTCACTTTCTCTGCACTAGTCTGAATTACTAGGTTAACCCAGGTAACAGTGCCCCCCCCACCAGGAGTCCTTTCTCTAATGTAAGGATACCTTGAGTTTTTTTATTCAATGATCAATCTGCTTTTCCATATACTGCATGTTTAATGCCTTATATGGACAGTTCCATAAATCTGTAAATGTACACACAGCTGACTTTGATAATCAGAGGACATCCGGGTTGTGTGATAAGAATATGGAGCAATCTATATAGTCTGTTCTATTACAGCCTGACATTGGATTGTTTCACTCCCGATTTTACATTACTAATAGTATGTATTTTACAAAGGACAAGTACGTGTGCCATGTCTAGGCAAATAAGGAGTTTACACAATCAATTGTATCAATATATAATCCACAGCCATTTCCTATCTCTGCTGTAATGCCAACCTGTAATTATCAAGCCTGAAGAGGACTCTGTACCATCAAGATATGCATGCTATTTCAGCAGGATGTTTGATGGTTATGAGGTATGCATGATTTCATCACATACCCCCAGCAAGTCCAAATTAGGCCAAAATGTAAATGCTTACTTTTACAGAGGTTCTGCTTAAAAAAAAAAAAAAAATAACAAACACTGTATACTTGCCTGCTCTATGTAGTGGTTTTTCACAGAACAGGCCAGATTCTCCTTTTCTTCGGTCTCTGGCGCTCCTGGCTCCTCCCCCTTCACCAGTGCCAGCAATTCTTTTACATTCAGCTGTCAGTGGAGAGCCTCGCTGACAGCTGAAACATTAACGCATGGTTGTCATTACTAACGTACAGCATGACTTGATAAAATAACTCATGCAGTATTTTAGTAGCGTTTACTTTTTTATGATCTAATTATAAATGATTGCATTTGCAAAGGTCCAAAGCCAATATAAAGGTATAGTAGTGGTAAAAAGCCCTTCTGGGTTTAATCAATCATTTTTTTGTGTATTACTTTTCCATGTAATAGGGATGTGTATTGTAGGGCTCTCTATGTCAACCACCAGTGAGAGTGTGAAGCATTACCTGTGTTGTGTTTCTAGAGTGCAGATCATTAATAAGCATTCACACAGGGAAAGGAGTGGAATTAGCCAGAAATCTTCTGCTGCATTTTCAATTATGCCTTTATCTGTTCACTAAAAAGCTAGCTTAACCAGCTTACACGCAAACCCCACACTACCATGCCAGCTTAGGAAAACAAATCTCATTTTCTGTGTCATGTGTCCATTTTTCCCATAGCAGACATTTTCCTTTCATTTAGTTTTTTTGCATTAGTAGGAATTTGGATTTTTTTGTTTACATTTCCAGTGACTTGTATGTAATAAAACTTTACATTTTCAGGGCATTATTTTGTTTTTGAACTTATAGTTTGAGAGAACCCCTTCCTTGCATTTTAAAACTTTTGTAAATTTCAGACCTACCTTTTTCATATGTCTTCAAGCTGGTCATGCGAAACTTGGGGTCCTCTTCCTCTTTCGATTGTTTTCTTTTCCTGAGGATAAGGAAAGCAGCGCTGACATTAAAGGAATTCCACCCAAAAGGGGAAGTTCCGCTTTAAAGATTAGTCCCCGCTCCCCATTAAGGATTGGAACCTTTGGGGAGCAGGGGGGGAACGGGTACCTGAATTTGACAGGTACCCGCTCCCACTTCCGCTGCGATCGCATAGGCGATCGGAAACGGAAGTTGTCCTCCTACCCTCCCTCCCCGAAGTCTTGTGGGACACGTGACAGGTCCCAGAAGACGACGGGGCCATTCATGAAGCGCAGCGCTATTCGCACATGCGCAGTGGGCACCCGGCTGTGAAGCCGCAAGCTGTCACAGCCGAGTGCCCACACTGAAGATGCCAGCGCCTGGAATACAGAACGGCCAGTGAAAAGGGCTGCGGCGGGGGCAACAAGAGATCGTGGGACAGGTAAGTGGCTGTTTTCTAAAAGTGCTTTCGCCAAGACATCTGAATTGTTACCATAGTCTGAGCTGAGTCCATCCCCAAGCTCAGGAGTACAGCGTTTGCTGTGTTTTCGTTGTCTAAATTGGCCCTAGTATGTATGAATGTAAGTTAGGGACCGTAGATTGCACGCCCCTTGAGGGTTAGGGACTGATGTGAATGTACAATATATGTAAAGCGCTATGTAACTTGACAGCTCTCTATAAGTATCTTGATTGTTCTGCTAATATCCACCAAGAGATGCACTTTTAACGTCAGATTTAGCCCATCATAATTATGTAGAAATGCATGGAGTCAATGAATTTTCTTTTTTTCATTGTTCACACACTGCTCATAATATGGACCAAAACAACTGGTGGTAAGATGTTTTGTAAAAGGCCAAGTTCTGTCTTCTTTGATCTCTAGTGGTTATGTATCTTATCGCTCCCTCCACAGGCTGCTAGAGTAAACAATGCTTAATCATTACCAAACAGCTCAGCATGGCTTTAGTATAAAGACAGGACTATATAGGTGAGGATTGATTACATTACTCCCCATTCATTTAAACAGATTTTACATATGTTAATCCCTTAACATTTGTCTTCAAGGTTATCTCTCTAGACCAGTTGCCATTGCCACCTATATAATATTGGCAAACGTCTCAGCGTTTGTTCTTCATAGAATATTGTTTGAAGTGAACTTTTGAATCCTATTGCTGTTTGCAATGCTCGGTGCACTGGAGTTAGATTTTATACATACTGTGGTAACAAGCTTGGGCGCCACTCAAGGCTGGACAGGAGGTACAATCACCCCTCCAGCAGGGAAAAAGAGGGAAGCAGTGTCCCGAGTCCCAAGGGGCAGGGCAAAATGCATCAGAGGGCGTCGCCGGAGTGACCACTGAGGCCAGCTAGAGCCCACATCGCTTATTGGTTGACTCCTGGGGATTGGTAGAGCGGCGTCCACCCCTCCTCACATTTATACATACCATGGTTTACATAGAGCAGTGGTTGTCAACGTATAACATATAGAATGCAGTGGGCCACCAATGGGCCATTCACAGTATTTAGAATAGGAAAGGGGGAATTAATAGGGCCCCCCCTTTTTATGGGACTGTGGCATGGGAAATAATGTTTTTCAAGTCCCCCCACTGTATAAATACAGTGGGGGGACATTCTAGAAGGTCAGTAGGGTTTTTAGTCCCCCCTCAGTGGGGTCAGGAGGAGAAAAAAACATTAAAGTTTCAAGTCCCCCCATGGTATACTAATATAATGGGGAAGCTTCTAGAAAATAGGCGTTTTTAGTCCCCCATCACACCTGGACAGTTTTAAGCCCACCCCCAGGGTATATTATATAATGGGGAAGATTCTAGAAATTGTGAGTTTTTAGCCCCCCACTACACCTGGACATTCCTGGAAGAAAAAGTGACCAATAGAAAGAACTGGAAAGAGAGGAGAGGGCTATAAAAGGGGGGTCTGTTAACAGAAAAACAGCAACCCATATGTAATATCAGAGAAGACTGTCAGAGACTGCAGGCTTACTGGTTGGATACTGGAAACATGATGCAGGAGAAAGTTAGAGACTGGGAACAAGTTACATGCACCTGGTATGCAACACTGCCATAACATACTATATCTGGGTTTGCTGAGGTTCAGGTGACCCATAGCAAGTACGAAAGGGTGGCAAGTAGACCTCAGACCACATAGGCTACGTTCACACTAGCGTTGTGTGCAGGCGGCAGAGAGGCGTTTGGGAAGCGTTTTTACCGCTTCCCAAAAGCCTCTGACAATTCTGCACATTGCAGCACATGGTGGTGTTCTAACTGGAGCGTTAGCATCGCGTCGCGGCAAAACAGACGCCTCTGGTCGAGTCAGGAGGTGTTGAAGCCTCCTATTCTAGTCTATGGTGTCGCTCCGCAAATGCCCGGCCCGGCGTTTGCGGTGCGGTTGCGGGGCGTTTGTGGAGTGGTAACACCATTCAAACTTCATTATAGGCGTTTGTGGGGCGTTTTTAACGCTCGGCAAACGCCTAGCAATCGTCGCTAAACCGCGCATGCGGAGTTTGCAGAGCGTTAAAAAATGCTCCGCAAACGCCGGACCAACGCTTGCCAAACGCTATAGGGGCGTTTGGCAAGCGTTGGTAAAACAGTCAAGTGTGAACGAGCCCTTATTGGGCACTGGGACACAGAAATTACTGTATTTTGTGTTGCAGTACCTGATTTCCCCAGTGATGTTGGTAAACTTTGTGACATTTATACTTGTTTGTAACACTTGTGAGGTTTATAGCTTTGAGTTCTGATAGAACTCTAGAGCTGTAATACTTGGGGGGCTGGTTAGAATCACATCTGTACATATTTGTTTTCATTTTCTTTAATTAAGCAAAATACAATAATTTGATCATTTGGCTTTGGTCAGTGTTTTTTCCTAGTGAAAATGATGTAATGTATGAAATGATAGTGAATTAGTGTGAATGCACAGTCAGAACATATATTATTATGTCATCTTTATGTACAATTGCGGCATAATAAATAGAGTAGTTTATTTTAACGTGTTACTAAACCCAGGACCCTGCATTCACTATATCTGGTCTCCCACAGTACACAGAACATGGAATGCAATTATTTTAGTAAATATAAACTGCTAAATACCTTTTCTCATCAGCAGTCAGAGCAGTCTTGTGACTTCAGCAGAGCACTGACTAAAGCTTGTAGGAGGAGTTTTCTTTCTGTTCTAGGAGGATGCAAAACCCCTGACCCTCTGTCTGGATAGTGCTGATTGGCCCTGTGCTGATCACATGCACTCTCCCTAGAAAAAAAAAACCTCTCTAGCAATACACACTAAACTGAGCATGTGCATGTGGCTACAGGTTCAGTCTGTCTTATCAGGAGGAACTAGGGGAGGGGCAGAGTAAACAGGATCAAATGACCTTTTTACACAATGCAGAGGATTAACCCCTTAGGTTCCACAGTGAGTATAACAAGCATGCTTTACTGCATATACACACTGATTTTACTGTTGTGGGTTTAGTAACACTTTAAGCACACTGGTGGTTGAAGCTATTAAAAGAGAATTATGGGTTTAACAAAAACAAATCATCGGCCCAATGCTGCATCTGTCCCCTGCTGGCTCTAAGATCAAGAACTGAGCGATCAAACACTGCTGACCGCTCAGTTCTTGGTCTTCAGGCTGCACTCTGCTCTGCCTCTCCAGTGCTCGCTGGAGTGCTGGACTGTGGAGGGGGTGGGAACAGCTGGCTCAGTCTCCCAGCGACATGCTGAGAGGCTGATCCAGCTGCCAATCCAGGCATTTGGGTGGATCCCAACTATTTTCAGAGCCTGGACAGGCTTTGTGATGACAGCCGACATTGGGCTTTAGCTCCCTTTTGGCTGAAAATGGGTCACAGGAGTGCAGAACTTAAAGCCCAGCATCAGCTGGTCACTAGGTCTGAGCACTGTCACATAACCTTGAGAGTGACTTTATCGCTCCTAGGTCACTGACACAGCCCATTTCAGTGGCCATTGCAGAGGAGGAAGGAGTGGTGATGGAGCAGCAGCACAGGGAGTATAGGGGCCACAGGGCATTCTGTTTGCAGAGACACTGAGGGCTTATTTACTAAACTAGAGAGTGCAAACTCTGGTGCAACTTTGCACAGAAACCAATCAGCTTCCATGTTTTATTGCCAAAGTTTCATTAAACAAGCTGAACTTTGAAGCTAATTGGTTGCACAGATGCACAGATGCACCAGATTCTGAGTGCACCAGTTTTAGTAAATCTGCCCCACTGTCTATTTGCACTGCATGGTTGAAGTATAACAAAGCAAACCTATTGTACATTCTATATTAAATGGTGATCAGGGATCAGTCAAAATTGCATGTCATGTCAGATAACTCCATCACCTCCTAATATTCCTTCACAGAGATCGTTTGTAACCAATATACTGTGAGATCTAATTTTTTTGTGTGTGTTCATGGATGTCTGCTTTCATTAAGCAGAAAGGGAATGATTTAAAGTGTATAAATGATGTAAAAGGTATAAAACACCATTTTCCAGGCTGAATCATGTCCTTCATTGGAAAACAATCTGAAAAGATAGCATGCAATAAAACCAGGAGCATTATTATTGTATGTTATACTATTATATTTATATTTTATTTATATGATCATTAATGAAATCCATCTACTTACAGCAACAGTGCAAAAAAGGTATTTTTTTCACCTTCATTCCTGTTTAGTCTTAAATCATTATATGAACAGACATCATTGTGTCAAATAACCTTTTCTATGAGCTGTCATGGTTTTGTTACCAACACAGGCCCTTTCTGACAGCTCTGTCATTGGTGTTGGCAGGTTGTAAACTGAGTCCAACCAAATCAGTTCTGTTATTGTCCGTAGATGCTCCATTATTACTAACATTCTGCAGCATATTTGTTACTTAAAACATTCTGTGGTTAAATCTTACATATTGATATTAAAAATAGACATCCACTGACTTTGTTCAAATAGTTAATCCAGGCATAAAAAAGTGCCTACCGACTGAGATCTGTAGAGCCTCACTGCTTGCTATCCTGAATGCTGTGCCTGAAAAGTGAAACTTGTTACGTTCCCAGTCTAATGTAAAAGGAGTGACGACTGCACTCACTGTCCGTAGATTAATATATGAAAAGCTGAGATAAATCATACTACCACTGGAGGCCACCATTTTGTTGGTTGGTAACAAATTAAACTATTCAAGAAAAGCATTTGCAGGTCTAGGGGGCAGGCTTTCTTGGGGTTTGTCACTTGCAGAGTTCTTGGCCAGCGGTGTAGTGCAGCTTACGGAAAAAAGTGCAGAGACTCTCCAGAACTCAGATAAGGATGCCCTACGGATGACAATAGGCTCAATTTGCAAAGCTCTAACATACAGATAAGGATATCAATTTTAGCCATGTAACTAGAATTTTAAATCTTATTGGACTGAAAATATCTGCCATTTTGTTTTGAAAATCATTATCCTCTGAGTTCTCTGAGAAATGATTTAGCATGATATATATATACACTATATTGCCAAAAGTATTGGGACACCTGCATTTAAATGCATGTGAACTTCAATGTTCTCCCAGTCTTAGTCCGTAGGGTTCAATATTGAGTTGCCCCACCCTTTGCAGCTATAACAGCTTCAACTCTTCTGGGGAGGCTGTCCACAAGGTTTAGGAGTGTGTCTATGGGAAGGTTTGACCATTCTTCCAGAAGCACATTTGTGAGGTCAGGCATTGATGTCGGACGAGAAGGCCTGGCTCGCAGTCTCCGCTCTAATTCATCCCAAAGGTGTTCTGTTGGGTTGTGGTCAGGACTCTGTGCAGGCCAGTCAAGTTCCTCCACCTCAAAAACTCACTCATCCATGTCTTTATGGACCTTGCTTTGTGCACTGGTGTGCAGTCATGTTGGAACAGGAAGGGGCCATCCCCAAACGTGCATGGCATGGCAAATAGCCTGGCAAGTCGCACCCTGTGTGACTGGACTCTTAGGCTTGGTTCACACTGCCACGACTTGGTATCCGACTTGTGCTCCCAAGTCGCATGGCATGTGAAATCCAATGTTAGTCAATAAGAGCTGGCTTAATTAGCACTACTGAAGTCGCTCTGACTTTAGAAAAAGTTCTTGTACTACTTCAAGGCAACTTATATACAACTTGTCCCCATAGACTTTAATGGAAGTCGCCTGGCAAAGTTGCACCGTAAGTCGCGCGACTTTCAGGTCGTAGTAGTGTGAACAGCAGAGCCTCAGTTGGTGGTCACCCCAATCCAACTATGAAATTGTGCGACTTCCAGTGAAGTCAAAGTCGAATGTCATTCTGACTTGTGGTGCGACTTGCAAGACATCTGCAGCTTGTAAGACACAGATGTCTATGCAAGTAGCACCTGAAGTAGTGCATGCACTACTTTAGAAATCGGTGTGGATCCAAACAAGTCGGAATCGCACCGATATGACTGCTTTTATTGTGAACAATAGGGTGCGACTTGCCATGCGATTTGAAACTCGTATGGAATGGCAAATTGCATGGCAAGTCGCACCCGGTGTGACTGGGCTCTTAAATAAAAATAGATCATTCGTAACAATTAAAGTTTCCATTGGAATACATGCATGCTGTACTTAACAACCTAAACATTTTTACATCCACGGACGTTTGGTAACAATTCTACTAGACAGTACAAGCGTGTAGGATATTTATAAGCCGTGAAGGTATATCACAAGATGTTCTTTGTAAGGAAAGGTCTAAATGAAAGATTTTATTGTCTGTATTGCATAATAACACATATCCTTCACAATGAACAACCCAACACATTTTATGCAACATAATTACCCCAATAAATCAAAAGGCATTTAAAATCTTTTGTTAATTCACAGTAAGTAACTTTCTTCAATGTTTCAGGGACTGTCCATAGTTCTGTATATAGGGTACAACCTTGTTTTATTTCATTACATTACTGAATGGCAAGTCAAGAAGTATAAAATTGCTTTTACAGGTCAGGACAGCATTTTATAATATTCTATTCTGCCATTGTGACATGTTGTTTTTTAAATCTAAACATCCAGTTTACTTTTACTGTATATGTAAAGTGAACATGGAATATTAAATCGTATTCTTAACTTTTAGCAGGTTTCGTCAACAGAACTGTGGCTGGGACCTATGAGACTAACACAGGATCCTATACAGGTAATTCAAACTTACCTTTTCACTTGCAGAATACAACAAAATGTTATTTAGCTTTATGAAATGGCTATATAATGTGACATTAATCTTCTGTTATACTGGAAAATTAATTAATGTGTTAGTTGGTGTTTTTTGAGCTTTTTTTGTGTAAAAAGACCATTAGCCCTCATGCACACTGGACGTTTTGATAACGCTGGTAACATTAGCTGTGTAAAGTCACGTTTAAAATTTGAGTTTTTCAGCTTTTTTAGTGTTTTTGCAATAGCATTTAGCCGTGATTAGTGATGTTTTTCCGCTTTTGCGTTTTTTTTGCTTTTTTTTTTTTACCAAACAAAACTTTTTTGGGTAAAAAAAGTTCAAAACACAGATTTGCGCTGTTTTACCACGTTTTACTGCATTTTTCAGAAACCCACTAGTCCTGGGTTTTTTTTCCAGCCAAAAAACATTGATTACAGTCTATGTGTGCATGGACACATAGGATAACATTCTGGGGGGTTTACTAGCTGTAGAAAAAAAAAGTCAAAAGCCAAAAACAGCCGAAACGTCCAGTGTGCATGGGGACTTATTGGAAGAACATTGGCTTTCACAGCCTATTTCCTTAGTTACAGCAACCCTGTCCATGCAGGTAAATCAACATGTTTTCTTTATTATCCTCCCCCAAACTCCTGGGCAACACACTTTACCTTTGATCTCCCACTGGTTCGACCACCCAGGAATGAGGAAGATACCCGGAGTACTCCTTTCCTTCCGTTGGCCCTGTTTTGTCATCTGGCATGGGGAGATGGCCAGTCCTCTGTAAGTTCCAACTAAAGCAAATTGCAGCTTACACAGGGCATCACTTCCCTTCTACAAGTAATTGGAGAATGGTTGGAAAGCAAAGGAAAGGTATGTTCGTCTGCGGAGGTGGGCTTCAAAGTGTACCTTTTTCTTTGCCTTGGATGATTAACTCTATAACAGTCTATAGTGTTCAGTTATACGTAATTAACAAACAGTTGCTGCCAGTAAAATTTTAACAGTGTTTGTGGCAACTTATTTTGATACCTCTCTACATGACTAGAAAACAACATTTAAAGTGTTACTAAACCCAGGACCCTGCATTCACTATATCTGGTCTCCCACAGTACACAGAACACGGAAATGCAATTATTTTAGTAAATATAAACTGCTAAATACCTTTTCACATCAGCAGTTTGAGCAGTCTGGTGACTTCTGTCAGTGTCCAGCAGAGCACTGGTTAACGCTTGTAGGAAGAGTTTTCTTTCTGCTCTAGGAGGATACAAAACCCCCTGACCTCTCTCTGGACAGTGATGATTGGCTCTGTGCTGATCACATGCAGTCTCCCAAGAAAAAAACAAAAAAACAAAATAATAATAAGCTTCCTAGTGCCACATCCCAAAAGTATAGAAAAAAATGCCGGAAGAAAATGCTGAACAAGAATTGTATGGCCAAACCGGCAGTTAGAGCAGTCGTGTGACTTCTATCGGTGTCCAGAAGAGCACTGGTTAAAGATTGTAGGAGGGGTTTTCATTCTCCCCTGATTGCCCTATGAGGCTGCAGGACCTTTGACCCTCTGTCTGGACAGCGCTAATTGGCACTGTGCTGATCACATGCACTCTCTAGCAATTCACACCACACTGAGCATGTGCAGCTTTCCCCCAAGGCTTTGTTCTATCAGCAGATGTATTGAGAACTGTGGATGAAGGGGAGGATCAGAGAAGTCAGAATCACACACCCTTTTTACACAATACAGAGGATTAACCCATTAGGTTCCACAGTGAGTATAACAAGCATGCATTAGTGCATATACAGACTGATTTTACTGTTGTGGGTTTAGTAACACTTTAAGGATAAATATAGTTTTGTAAGAAATCCCCTATTCTTTCTCCCTGCTTTTGCCATCAAATAACTAAAAAAATACATATCTGAGAAATGATGAACTAAGGCTTGCTTTCCCCAGCTTGTCTGGGGAAAGGCTGTAGCAGTGTTTGGAATGCTTGTCACTCCAGAACATTTCTTAATTGCAATGCTTGGCCTGACCTTACAGAATAGTTACTGATGGAGACCAATATTATTCTGCATGGCCCAGTGCATGAGTAATGAGAGGGCCATAGTACTGCAAAGTATGAGCTTTTTCCCTGGGCATGCCAAACAGTGAGAACTTTAATTTTTTAACATCTGAGCATCTTTAGTTGGTGTAGATATGGGGACAAACTAGGGGATTTCTTTTGAATGTTCCTCCTCCATTATAATTATTTTGTCTAAACCTAGTGCTTTTTATGTCTTTTGACATTTCTGGAATTTCTTGCCACATGTCACTTGGCACTCTCCAACCATAAACAGCTTGAAGTGTACCCTGCTCATTAGAGATCATGCAACTATGTAAGGTGCAAAAACGTCTCCAGATCCAGGGATTTTTAACCAGATAGTGAGTCTATCTAATGACTTTGGATCTCCAGCAGAAGCAGAAGATGACCTGTGCAGGCTGCTATTATTTTCTCTTGATAAGTTGGCACTAAAGGCATGTGTAGAACACCTTCCTTGCCTTCCTTTATAGCTTGGACGCAGACTGATGTAAAATGAGACTATTTATGTTCAGGCATCCAACAGTCAGCCTTGATGCCTCAGGGTGGCTGACTGATGTCTATGGTGGTCTTTATTCCCATATGGAAGAAAAATATATTTTAAAAATATTCTTCCCAAATATATTGACATATATTTGAAATGCTACAATTTTGGCCATGTTCAATATATTTCAAAATATTTCAAAATATATTTCAATAAATATATACAGTGAGGAACAGAAGTATTTGAACACCCTGCAATTTTGCAAGTTCTCCCACTTCATGGAGGGGTCTGAAATTCACATTGTAGGTGCATTCCCACTCTGAGAGACAGAATTTAAAAACAAATTCAGGAAATCACATTGTATGATTTTTAAAGAATTTATTTGTCTTGCACTGCTAAACATAAGTATTTGAACACCTGAGAAAATCAGTGTTAATATTTGGTACAGAAGCCTTTGTTTGCAATTACAGAGGTCAAACGTTTCCTGTAGTTCTTGACCAGGTTTGCACACACTGCAACAGGGATTTTGGCCCACTCCTCCACACAGATCTCCTCTAGATCTGTCAGGTTTCGGGGCTGTCGCTGAGCAACACGGAGTTTCAGCTTCCTCCAAAGATGTTCTATTGGATTTAGGTCTGGAGACTGGCTAGGCCACTCCAGAACCTTGATATGTTTCTTACGGAGCCACTCCTTGGTTATTCTGGCTGTGTGCTTTGGGTCATTGTCATGTTGGAAGACCCAGCCACGACCCATCTTCAATGATCTGACTGAGGGAAGGAGGTTGTTGCTCAAAATCTCACAATAAATGGCCCCATTCATTTTCTCCTTAATACAGTACAGTTGTCCTGTCCCCTTCACAGAAAAGCACCCCCAAAGCATGATGTTACCACCCCCATGCTTCACAGAAGGGATGGTGTTCTTGGAATGCAACTCATCCTTCTTTTTCCTCCAAACACGACGAGTGAAGTTTAGACCAAAAAGTTCTACTTTGGTCTCATCTGACCACATGACTTTCTCCCATGCCTCCTCTGGATCATTCAGATGGTCATTGGCAAACTTCAGACGGGCCTGGACATGTGATGACTTGAGCAGGGGAGCCTTCCGTGCAATGCATGATTTGAAACCATGACGGCGTAGTGTTCTACCGACAGTTACCTTTGAAACTGTGGTCCCAGCTCTCTTCATGTCATTGGCCATCTCCTACCTTGTAGTTCTGGGCTGATTCCTCACCTTTCTTATCATCAGTGATACCCCACGAGGTGAGATCTTGTGTGGAGCCCCAGTCCGAGGGAGACTGACAGTCGTTTTTAGCCTCTTCCATTTTCTAACAATTGCTCCAACATCTATTTTCACGAAGCTGCTTGGCAATTGCCCCGTAGCCCTTTCCAGCCTTGTGGAGGTCAACAATTATGTCTCTGGTGCCGTTTGACAGCTCTTTGGTCTTGCCCATGGTAGTAGTTGGCATCTGACTGACTGTGGGGCGGACAGGTGTCTTTAAAGAGCTCAGACAGGTGTTACTAAGTTAGATTAATGAGTGGAGTAGAGGTGGACTTTTTAAAGGCACAGTAACAGGTCTTTGAGAGCCAGAATTCTTGCTGTTTTTTTTAGGTGTTCAAATACTTATGTTCAGCAGTGCAAGACAAATAAATTCTTCAAAAATCATACAATGTGATTTCCTGAATTTTGTTTTTAAATTCTGTCTCTCAGAGTGGGAATGCACCTACAATGTGAATTTCAGACCGCTCCATGATTTCTAAGTGGGAGAACTTGCAAAATCGCAGGGTGTTCAAATACTTCTGTTCCTCACTGTATATATATATAATGTATATTGAAATGCATTTTTATTACAAAATATATGAAAAATATTTTTAAAAATACATTTCAAATATACTGTATGTCTTTACAAATACAAATCTACATTTTTGGAATGCATTTACAAATATATGTAAAAATATATGTTAAAATGACTTTTTTATGTGTTAAAAAAAATCGGAAGAATATATTAAAAAAAACATTTTTAAAAATATATATTTTTTAAATATATTCTTCAGATTTTTTTAACATATAAAAAAGTCATTTTAACATTTATATTTACATATATTTGTAAATGCATTCTACATTATATTTGTAAATGCCATTGGCTACAAGCGTTGATCAGATGCTGGTTTTTCAGCATATCCCTTCAACATAAGCGATTGTTAGAATGGCTTCCATTAGACAGACTGCTGTACACACTGACCAAAAAGTCACACAGTTCCTGCTCAACCGGCTGATTTTTGGACAGTGTGTACCCAGCTTAAGTTTGTGGATTACTCGGGCTCCTTGATTATCCTCACATGGAAATAGCAGTCACTAGAACCCTATTTTTAGCCATGAAAACTATAGCCCACAATTGACTATATCCTCAACCTCCCACAACCCGCCTCCGGATAGACAAGATAAATTCCATCTTACATTTACAAAGACTTACGCCTGGTACACATGATAAGAATATCGCACGAATGACCGTCCATTTTTTGTTTTTCTTTTGCATGTCAGTCTCATATCGAAAGTGAAGAGGTTACTAAGGTTACAAAATTTCTCATATGACAGAATACAACTTTGGAAGTGATGTAATGTATTGTATTGGGGGATCAGGAAGTAATTTTTTTTCCCTGCTGGTGCAAATTGGGTCATGCTTTGCTGGGTTTTTTTGCCTTCCTCTGGATCAACTGTGTGTATAGGATTATAACTTTTTTTTTTAATGGTAGAACTGGATGGACGTTTGTCTTTTTTCAGCCAGACTAACTAACTATGTAATGTGTTCTTTAGTTTTCGAGCATGCATGGTCTTAGTCATTTGATTTTTTTTATGGACAAATACTGTACTGAGTAAAAGAGAATCGTTAGTTCTGGTATCGGACTAGAAAGATCTTCCTGTTTGTCCCTTTGGATAATTCCGCATGAACTGTTGTGATTGGCTTTCTAATGCTGTGTACTAACGATCAGATTATTGGATTCCCTGTGATGAAGCCACATGACCCTGTGGCGTAACACGTAGGGAAGGTCTTTGACGTCACGACGCTCGGAGGATAGGAGACAGTGGTACAGCTGGCTGCAGATTAGCGGTTGTGGGATCCGATAGCAGTACTCTTTGGGAGATACTTTGTAAAAGCTATATTGTACATCACACATGTAAGTGGAATACTGGATATTGTTTTAATAATAAATGTTTTGTAAGGATAAAGCACTATGTTTTGGTCATCTCTTTTTGGCATTGATCTGATGGAGGAGGATAACAAGGACAGTGAAGGAGACTCAGGCTTATCGAACATCTTGGACATTTCACATCAGTCCACTTAAGGGACACATGCTATATATGACCTCACTTAGCGGTTTGGTCATATACGCCAGGTGAGAGCACATCAGGTGGAGGTGTACACACATTGGCTTGAAGTATATAATCACACGAGGTGTACTAAGAAGCATTTAATCTCCACCGTGGAGAAAGATAACCGCAGAGAATATCAATGCATGGACACTTATTTAGAGACGTTTAAGCTGATTATTATAGGTTTATATCGGTAGTGAAGCTCGGCACTTGATTGTTATTTAATGGTATTTTTCATTCTATTTACTCATCATGTGTACTAAGCTTAAGCTGTAACTACAGAGGCATTTCTCAAAAATTCAAAAATATGAGAAAATATGACATGGTTGGCTAAGGGACCCTACTCTTGTACCGCCTGCTGTAGTTATGCTGTAATAACTAAACCTGGTAAAACATACCAAGAAAACTTTCACTTTTGTATTCCTCTACCTTCTCACCTTGGAAACACCTTGGAAATTTTAATGAGAACATGTGGTTGTAATGGAACCGACCCCAGACTGTGCTTGGGTACTTTAGTTAGACTACCGCTTCCCTGTCCATACACCGACAACAGACACTACAGCAGACCATTCAAGACTAGACGACACCAGTCTTGAAGTAAACCAGGAATAGACTAGTTTATTTGAACACAGATACAAGACATATACACTCAGGGGACAGTCCCCCCTCCCTGCATAATGACACAAGGCGGGGCAATCTACATTTAGTAACATGAGACACACAGGTATTCAAACTTCACACTAGCAGACAGTCCCATCAGGAGGGAGGGCTTCTGGAGACACCCCCCCCCCTAACAAGCTAATACACATAAACACATACATCCCATAATAGTTTGCTCTCAAACCAGACACACAATAGAACAATGGGATGCAGCCACACAACAACAAACAATCCAAAACCCCCACCCCACCTATCTCCTAGACATGTCTACACAATATTAGGACAGATCACCCTGTACCCCTCACAGGCACAAGGTGACTTACACATAATAGGGATATGGGGAGCTGAGAAAGGGGTCTCCCCACCTCTCCAAATTGAGCTGGGTTCCATGGGCCCCCCACCCAAAGTGACTCCTGTCACAGTGGTTATCAGGCCAAACAGATGCCAATATAACGGCAGATCAGTGGCGTCTTTAGGGGGGATGGGGGGTGCGGGTCGCACCGGGTGACACCATCACAGGGGGTGCAGGAGCAGGCAGCCAGCTGAGCTTCTGGGCTCTGTGAAGGTCCTGGCAAGTTATTGGGGTGATCCTGAATTCCCGGCACAGTGACAGCCGGCCCCGGTGTAGCAGTAAATTGAGTATCCCGTGAAGATATGTATCCCCTGAAGCAACTGCGCATGTGCCGGTTTCAGGCCGAAGAAGCCGATCACCGATCTCCGACTTTAGCACAGAGCTGCCACAGTTAACCCCTTACAGGCTGCAAACCGCTGAAGCTGATCCCGCGGATCACTATGAGTTGAAAGATCAGTTAACCTGATCTTGCAACCCATAGTGATCCGTGGGATCAGCTTCAGCGGTTTGCAGCCTGTAAGGGGTTAACTGTGGCAGCTCTGTGCTAAAGTTGGAGATTGGCTTCTTTGGCCTGAAACCGGCACATGCGCAGTTGCTTCACGGGTACAGGATACTCATTTTACCGCTACACCGGCACCGCTCCTTCCTCTCTGGAGGGGTGACACCACAAGTTACCACACCGGGTGATACCAACCCTAGGAACGCCTCTGAGGCAGATACCTGTTTGTATACCAGCTGCTGTTAAAAACACGTTCAGGGGCGGACTGACCATTTGGAAACTCGAGCACTGCCCGAGGGCCCGGGGTCAGTAGGGGGCCCCATGAGATGTTCCTGGTACCTTTTTCATAGGCTTTTTTTGAGTTTGGGCAAGGACACAGGGGCCCCATGATCCCCTATTGCCCAGGGGCCCCATGAGTTGTCAGTCCGCCCCGTGTTACACGTTATGATGTTTTTGTTGGAAATTCAGCTGGAATAAATTGAAGAGTTTTATAGCTGCTTAAACTTTAGTTTTTACTATATTAATAATAACCCAAATGTGCTGTTATTTATAATAAACACGTTTGCCCCCTTCTGAAATATTGTCGAGTATGTGTTTGAAGTATCCGTATTAGAAAAACAGTCCAGTGTGCAGAGAAGTTTGAAAGCAGGTCACTAAGTCCAGAGGCTCTTGTCAGACTCCGGGGAATTTATTGATTCTGTCACAAAGCAGAGTTGCTATGGTATTACACTCCAACAAACCAGGGTCATGGAACTGTGCTGTGTTTACAAGAGTCTGAATGACTGCAGCCTTTCCTAATAATGGAGAAGCCTACCCTTATATAACAACGCAATTCCCTGGTTAAACATTGCACATTTGATCAATATAGGTGTATAAAAGCAAGCGAGCCAAAGAAAAGTACATTCCTTCAGGAAGCATGACATAACTCTTAAGATTTACTGTAATTATAATTTGACGGAAATCTAGTGTAAATGGTATGATAAATAATAAGGTATCATTTAATGTACTGGGTATGTTTTAAAGATGGGAGGGAAATATGCTGCACTAAAAATGCTGGTCGCAGACATCCATGAGTACCCGCTATGCAGTGCCAATAATACATCTGGAAAGTCAAGGAATCTTGTGGAATACAGTCACGTGAAAAATTAAGTGCACCTGATGTAAATTCTTGATCCTTTCAACATATTTAAACAGGCACACATTAGAGATTTATTTAAACAGTGCCTACAGATAAAGATGATAAACTTGAATGAAAATGTGCTTTTCAATCATGTATTCAACATACAAATCAATAGATGTAACTATCGACTGAAAAAAGCAATTGCATCCTTGGTGTCAAAAGCCGGTATTACCCCCCTGTAGCAGAAATGACTTCTTGTAGTCATGTTATGTCCAGGGGTATGGAAATTTCTTTAAAAAATCTACTTGTCCAAGGGATTAAATCGGGGTCCCAATCTACTTGCCCCTTATGACAAGCTATTTGTCCTGATAAAAAAAAAAAAACCATATTGCCAGGAAGGAAAATATTATATAGAAGGGTAGATGTTTTTTGTTAGGCAGAGGTGCTTTTAGAAATGTCTGGGGGTTTTAAAAATGAAAGGGGCTTTATGGCGACTTAAACTTTTACTGTTTATTTTTTGCTAGAAAATTTCTTAGAACCACCAAACAGTCAATATTTTTTAAACACAAAGGCCCTAGAGAAAAAATTGGTGGGTGTTGCAGTGACTTTTTTCAAACACAATTTTTGGGGGAAAAAATACACTTTTTGAATGTTAATACAAAAAAAAACACTATACAACAAACCCAATATAAAAGATGATGTTATGCCAACTACATAGATACCAAACATGTAACGCTTTAAAATTGTGCAACGGCAACAAAAATTTTACTATCCGTAGGAGACGCTTTAAAAGCCTTTACAGGTTACCACTTTAGATTTAGAAAGGAGATCTGGTGCTAGAATTATTTCTCATGGTCTGATGTTCATAGTTATAAATCACATGTGTGAGATGATTGCTCTCTGTGTGAGGACGGGGGAGTGAAAAAGTTTTTAAATAAATAAATTATTTATTTAGTTATTTAAATTTTTACACTGTTGCTTTAATTTTTTTTTATATGAAGCTTTGATCTCAGCAAACCATCTCTGCAACAAATCTGTCCCTAGTCCTGCAGACAGGCAAACGTACATCTGCTTGACTACCAGCAACCCGAAAAAAGGCAGAGCCCAGGTGGCAACGTGAGTGGCTGCAAATACAAATCAAGCCTCACTCGCTCACCCATCACCAAACCCCCCCGCTGCATGGCCTGGCCCCTACCACTCGGGGTCAGGGATCTCTGTGTTAGGTAGTCATTTTTATTTCATTTAGGATAGTGTGAAAGGGTTAGAACTTCTGTCATCTTTTAATCGCTGTCTTCATCTTCATTTAGGAGATTTCTCCATTCCTCCAGTCTGGTTGACAGAACAGGAAATGAGGAAAAAAACAATACCTCTAATGGGGACACAATCAACAGTAGCAGCACATTTTCTAATAGAATGAAGATCTCTTTCAGGGTTTAATTGTTGTCTGTTTCCCCTTGAGGGAGATTTATCTTCCCAAGTGATGGGTGCAAGACAAAACATTATAAGAAGAGAGATCTCATCTAATGGAGTACAGACCACTTGTAGCCTCCCTGGCGGTATTCCCGAGTGTAGCTCGGAGTAAAGTTTCAGTACCACAAGCGGTAACCCCGAGTTACACTCGGGCTTACCATGCGGCGCTGCTGCGGGATCTCTTCTACACTTACCTTGTCCTGCGCTCCCGCGATGTCCCTCCTGCAGTGTCCCCGGCAATGTCCTCCGGCAGGTGCCGGCATCTGTCATCTGGGTTCCGTCCCCTGCGACGTCAGGACGTACGGGGACGGAGCTGCGGGAAATTTGAAAATGACAAAAAGTGACATTCACTGAATTCACTAAAATCACATAGTATAACATTACTGTATCAAACCATTTCACATACATTTTGCCCCTAGTGCTTTGTCCTGTGCCCTGCCTGCATTTTTACTGTTCTTTCTGCCTGAAAACTGAGAAATGTCCATGGCGTCCAAAAAGTGTCCCTTTAGGTCAAAATCGGTTTTAGACCAGCTAGAGAACAGCGATAGTAAATCAGAACTACTTGCAGAATTGAACGATTTTGCGACTTTGCTCAGTGATGTGCGAACTTGGCGCTATATTTCAAAATTCAGTGTTTTTGGTTTGATTATTTTATTGAATTAAATTTATTATTATTATATTATTATTTTTTATGATTATTTATTAAATTATCATTTATGATTTCATGTTTCAAATTTTAACATACCCGGGATGTTTACTAGACTCTTGTTCGGACAGATTTCAGTGAGTTATTCCTAAAAATTACAGGCCTACAATAAAAAAAAATACATATTTCCATGCAAAAAAATTTACCACTTTGAGCACAGAAATATGGACATAATCAGACCACTAGGGAGGTTAAAATATGATAAAAAAACATCTTCATGGGGACACAGATAGCATTTAAGTCTGCACTTCAGTCAGCAGTAAAATATGAGTTAGATGTGCCCCCTTTCTTCCCTGATACTAGGGTGTAATTGCTTGTCTAGTCTAGGGGAGTATTAGCACAGAGGATTACTTACCTCGTTCTTTGCTGCTCAAGTGCCCGCACTCTCCTTCACTCTTGGTATGTGGATGGACTCTTGATGTTCTCAGATGATGATGTAGGAGAGGCTGTACCTACTGCAGAGCCAGTAAATAGGTGCAGCTTTGTGGGTTGCAGGGGCACATGCTGCTAATATTGTCTGTTATGTTGTAAAAAGGAACATTTATTACCAAGAACATCCATGATATTCAGTGTGCAAAGCATGCTGGGCTTTCCAGTTACCATATGACATGCTAAAATCAATGCAGAAGTGAACCTTTGTATTTCTAATGAATTGTTGTCTTGTGCTTCAACATCTTGTTGTCAGGTGCTGCTGGTGTTTGCAAAGGAAGACAGTCAAAGTGATGGCTTCTGGTGGGCCTGTGACCGGGCCGGGTACAGGTGTAATATAGCCAGAACACCTGAATCAGCCCTGGAGTGTTTCCTTGATAAACATCATGAAATCATTGTTATAGATCACAGACACTCAAGATACCTTGACGCAGAGGCGGTTTGCAGGCAAGTACAAAGTATGGAAATCCAACACTGTTACTGTATTGTTTACATAAGATCAATTTTCATTTCATATTATTTCATGCATTTGCTTAAAGTTATCTAGGCAATTTAATTTGCGAGTGTGATGAAAAACACAAAAAAAACAGAAGTTACCTTTGGAAGAAACCACATGTTATAACATTCAATATATCCTCACATATTGGGAGCTGAAATTCTGGGCAAATATTTGCCTTTCCTAAAAAGTTGAGCTTGGCTTTATCTCCTTCTGCCTTTCCAGTGTCCTATTACTTACCCTAGATGGAAATTTTACTGACCAGTATAGAAATGCATTAGGTGGAGTGGCAGGGTTAAGCTCAGTTTTTACAGGAAAAATATATAATTCAGCTGCCTATAGCTCTGGTTCTACTGATCATTTAATTGGGCAGCACAGTGGCTAAGTGGTTAGCACTTCCGCCTGGCAGTGCTAGGGGCCATTGGTTCAAATCCCAACGACGGCACCCTGCCTAGAGTTTGCATGTTCTTCCTGTGCCTGCGTGGGTTTTCCTCCGGGTACTCCAGTTTCCTCCCACAATCCAAAGACATTCTGGTAGGTAATTGGCTCCTGTCTAAAATTGGCCCTAGTATGTATGAATGTGAGTTAGGGACCTTAGATTGTACACCCCTTGAGGGTTAGGGACTGATGTGAATGTACACATTACTGTATCAAACAAATAAAGCGCTGTGTAAATTGACAGCACTATATACAGTCAGGTCCATAAATACTGGGACATCGACATAATTCTAACATTTTTGGCTCTATACACCACCACAATGGATTTGAAATGAAACGAGCAAGATGTGCTTTAACTGCAGACTGTCAACATCCAAATCAGGTGAACGATGTAGGAATTACAACAGTTTGCATATGTGCCTCCCACTTGTTAAGGGACCAAAAGTAATGGGACAATTGGCTTCTCAGCTGTTCCATGGCAGGTTATTCCCTCATTATCCCAATTACAATGAGCAGATAAAAGGTCCAGAGTTCATTTCAAGTGTGCTATTTGCATTTGGAATCTGTTGCTGTCAACTCTCAAGATGAGATCCAAAGAGCTGTCACTATCAGTGAAGCAAGCCATCATTAGGCTGAAAAAACAGAACAAACCCATCAGAGAGATAGCAAAAACATTAGGCGTGGCCAAAACAACTGTTTGGAACATTCTTAAAAAGAAGGAACGCACCGGTGAGCTCAGCAACACCAAAAGACCCGGAAGACCACGGAAAACAACTGTGGTGGATGACCGAAAGATTCTTTCCCTGGTGAAGAAAACACTCTTCACAACAGTTGGCCAGATCAAGAACACTCTCCAGGAGGTAGGTGTAAGTGTGTGTCAAAGTCAACAATCAAGAGAAGACTTCACCAGAGTGAATACAGAGGGTTCACCACAAGATGTAAACCATTGGTGTGCCTCAAAAACAGGAAGGCCTGATTAGAGTTTGCCAAACGACATCTAAAAAAGCCTTCACAGTTCTGGAACAACATCCTATGGACAGATGAGACCAAGATCAACTTGTACCAGAGTGATGGGAAGAGAAGAGTATGGAGAAGGAAAGGAACTGCTCATGATCCTAAGCATACCACCTCATCAGTGAAGCATGGTGGTGGTAGTGTCATGGCATGTATGGCTACCAATGGAACTGGTTCTCTTGTATTTATGACTGACTGCTGACAAAAGCAGCAGGATGAATTCTGAAGTGTTTCGGGCAATATTATCTGCTCATATTCAGCCAAATGCTTCAGAACTCATTGGACGCCGCTTCACAGTGCAGATGGACAATGACCCAAAGCATACTGAAAAAGCAACCAAAGAGTTTTTTAAGGGAAAGAAGTGGAATGTTATGCAATGGCCAAGTCAATCACCTGACCTTAATCCGATTGAGCATGCATTTCACTTGCTTAAGACAAAACTGAAGGGAAAATGCCTCAAGAACAAGCAGGAACTGAAGACAGTTGCAGTAGAGGCCTGGCAGAGCATCACCAGGGATGAAACCCAGCGTCTGGTGATGTCTATGTGTTCCAGACTTCAGGCTGTAATTGACTGCAAAGGATTTGCAACCAAGTATTAAAAAGTGAAAGTTTGATTTATGATTATTATTCTGTCCCATTACGTTTGGTCCCTTAACAAGTGGGAGGCACATATGCAAACTGTTGTAATTCCTACACCGTTCCCCTGTATTGGATGTAAATACCCTCAAATCAAAGCTGACAGTCTGCAGTTAAAGCACATCTTGTTCGTTTCATTTCAAATCCATTGTGGTGATGTATAGAGCCAAAAATGTTTAGAATTGTGTCGATGTCCCAATATTTATGGACCTGACTGTAAGTACCTGAAATAAATAAATAATAAATAAATTGAACCCTGTTTGTGACACGTTTACTTTATGTAATGTTCAATATAGGTTCTCCACAGCAGTGCTCAGCATGTACAGCATGCGGTGGTCAGTATCTAGTGCTTGTTGAGAATTTCTCCCATAGTTTAATGACTGTTGTTAAGTTTCACTTTGCAAAGAACCATGTGCTAGGAAAAAAGCAAAAATAGCATTTTAGCTAGAACATGATTGGATGATGGAAGTCAGCAGAGCTCTAACCTCATTCACTAGGGTTTGGAGAAAATTCCCTTGCAAAGTTCAACTTCTCTTGCCAAGTACAACTTCCCTTGCCAAATGAACAGTCTATCTGCCATTGGTAAATCAACCCCTGTGGTGTAATTTGGTGCAGCTCTGCATAGAAACCAATCAACTTTCAGGTTTTATTGTCAAAGCTTAATTGAACAAGCTGAAGTTAGAAGCTGATTGGCTACCATGCACAGCTGCACAAGATGTTGCACTCTTCAGTTTTAGTAAATCAACCCCAATCTACTTCTGTGTTCTCCGGGGTAATTCTGAAGAAGACAGTATACCAATTCATCACTGACCATTACCAAGAACAGAGCGATGAGAATGTATGGCAAACATGTAAGGAACCTTTTTTTCCATACATGTAGCAATCCAGTGGTTCAAATAATCAGCTGTTTTGAGATTTTGATTGAATTTAATAAATATTAATACTTTCCCCCACTGTTTTAATTCTTTGAGATATAGTTTATCAAATAACAATTCCTTTCCATCTTCTAGTTAATAAACTAGAAGATGGAAAGGAATTGTTATTTGATCTTTTCTGAAAACTTTGATTGGTCCCAAATTAGCTTTATATTAACTAAAAAAAGCGCCATTTGTGTCCTTAGACACAAAAGGATCCTTTTTTACAAGGACAGTCTGTGGTTTCCCAAGTACCTGACCTCCATCATAGATTTATTGTGGTTTTGATCACAGGTAATATACTGTATTTCCACAATGATGAAATGGGTGCTCTGCCATGATTCATCTAAAGTTATTATATACACAAAACAGCTCACAACTATCCTTCACAGATCTTCATATATTCTCACTAGAATCTTCCCAATACGAATGCGTTGTATTTCATGTAATCTTCTCTATCTTTTCTTCTTGATCATCTACTCAACTGCTCCCAATCTCCAAAGCAAAAAAAAGTAATACAGTGTAGTAATTCCACACATAATATACATGATACACCACACCAATGCGTAGAAATAGAGAACACTTTGTGAACCATATCCACCACTATCTACTCTTACCCTCACAGGGTGAAAAATGTGCATAAAACCCTCCATCAATATGGCTCATCCTCTTAATTAAAGTGCGATCATGCACCATCCACCTCCAATGTGCAAATAATTCTGCGTGCTCTTCCCTTCCCCTTTAGGCATGCACCTTACCCTGCATACATCGATATGTGCTTTCAATACTTAGTGTAATCTTTACTCTGTTTTCTCCTCACCTCACCCGTTCTTCATAAACTCTCAGTCAACATATAAAAGCAAACATACAAGCCCATAGTGCAGCAGTAGTGTAAAATGACCAATTTATTGTTAAAATTGCGCTTACATGAAAGTACAAACAACCTGTACCAAAATGGCCACAGTGGCACTTCCGGTTGCGCATTTCGGCATCAAATTGACTTCTTCATAGGGAGTAGTACTGCCTATGAGGAAGTCAATTTGCTGACGAAATGCGTCAGACGGATGTAACATCAGACATAAATGGAAGTGCCGCCGCGGCATGCCTAAAGTGAAATGGAAAAGCATGCAGATTTATTTGCACATTGGAGGTGGATGGTGCATGGTTAAGAGGATAAGCCATATTCATGTGAGGGTAAGAGTAACTAGTGTGGATAGTGATGGATACGATTCACAAAGTGTTCTGTATTTATACACATGGGTGTATCATATTATGTGTGGAATTACTACACTATATTATTTTCTTTTCCTTTGGAGATTGGGAGCAGTCGAGTAGATGATCAAGAAGAAAAGATAGAGAAGAATATATGGTATACAACACATTCTTATCGGGAAGATTCTGGTGAGAATGTATGAAGATCTGTGAAGGATAGCCCGGGGGGGGGGGGGGGAGTTGGATTTCAGCTGCACACTATTGACTTTGGGTGCTTGTGACAACTAAAACATCTAAAGATATTACTTCTTGGAGTATTATTTAATTGAGGCATTTAGATCCTCTTCTAGACTAAGACGCTGGTCACAGAATGCCTGATATCCTTAAACCCACCCAGTTTGCCAGGTTGAAAGCAATTCTAAAATTGATATCTTCCTTTGAAAATGGGATTTAAATTTATAGACTCTGTTTAGAGCAATGTCTGCCAGTGCTAGAGTACCATAGTTCTGCTAGATTAATGAAATCTATACCCAACAATAACCAAAAATCCTCAGGCAAGATACTTGACCTGAAAAAAACTCCTTATTTTTGCTGGTTTAAACCTTCTTGGTGGGACTACCCTGATTTGCCATGTGCATGCTGTAGTACTCCAGTGACTTTACTACTTAGTGTTTTCAGTGATTGCTGACCCCTTTCTGTTTCCCTTGTTGGCTTTCAAATGTCCTGAGTCTCGGATCCAAAGTAAGCATACAGACAGAACTTTTGATTTTTAGACTTATTTCAGGCAGGGACACAGAGGGGGAAATTTACTAAAATTGCAGCACTCAGAATCTGTTGGAGCTGTGCATGGTAGCCAATCAGCTCCGAACCTCAGCTTTTTCAATTGAGCTTTGACAAAAACAAAAAACCTGGAAGCTTATTGGTTTCAATGCAGAATTGCACCAGATTTTGCACTCTCCAGCTTTAGAAAAAATAACTTCCATTGAGTATTAGACCCCTGAGATCACCTATGACTGCCAGACAACTAGTTTTTTCAGAGGGAGAGATTAGCAATAACAAATACATAGAAACTACAGCAAGTGATTTCTTTAAAATATTAAACCTGAATAAACTATGTATTTTGTTAATGGAGGAAAGAGAGGTGGCAACTATGATTGAAAAAGGAAAAAAATGAAAAGTCAGCAGCTACAAATACTGCAACTACTGACTTTTTTGAAAAAAAGTGCACTCACCGGTATAGGGAGCCAGCGTTGTCCTTACCTGGGCCGGTTCTTCACCAGCCTTCGGGTCCCTTGCTCCAGTATGTTTACTAAAGGAAGGCTGTGACTCCTCGTGGCTTCATAGCCGTCTTCCCACTGCACTATATGAATGGTCCCAGAGCCTCCTGTAACATGTCCCAGAAAGTTGTGGGCATGGGAGGCTGAGCTGCTAAAACTAGGTACCTGCTCCCCCCCCAAAAAACAAACTGCCAAAATTGTGTGTGAGTGGGGAGAGGGGATGTTAATGTGGAACTTCCCTTTTAGGAAGTTCTGCTTTAAAGTCTCACCTCTGGCTCAGACAAACTTGGCAAATGATACATTGGATAGAAGTGCAGTACTTGGCATCCCAAGCATTAAAAGGTAGGCATTCCAGATCATATACGTTCCCCTCGATTTTACGTAAGCCGCATTGGCTGCAATATGTTTGATATATTCCTTCTTGAATTCTAGCATAAGGGCTGACACTTCTGTGTGGTAGTAACTGGTGAATTTAATCCGTGGACTCTATAATGGAGACTTTTACAGTTTATTGCTGACATTTTCATCCAGAAGAAATGTTTCTGTAGTTAGAACAGTCTATTGAATAGTGACTGGAACATTTCATTTGCATATGGGTCCTAGATAAACAAAGAACATTTTAAGAACCCATTGAAGTTTTTTATGGAAACTTTATTGATCAAAGCCTATAGTAACCAAATAGATTTCAGCTTTTAGAAGCTTAAAAATTTTCATAACACTATTTCTGATTGGTTGATGTGATTATAGTACACTACTGCTATTGACATCCATTTTTTTTCATTCTTTTGCAGATCAATACGAGCAACAAAGCCATCAGAGCACACAACAATCCTTGCTGTAGTCCCACGTTTGTAAGTTTGTGTTTTCATTTTTCTTTTCAATATGTTTTATTATGTTTTGTTTTAAAGAGAGATACAAGTGCAGTTTACAAATCAATGCCCAAAAGCTGAGCAATCAATATATCAAAAAACAAACAAACAAAAGAGTGATCATAACAAAAAAAGTACAAACAACAAGGTGACATGGTCAACAAATGATGAATATAGCAAAATAGTGAAGGACATGGCAGTCATAAGGCTGACACTATTGATTGAGCTGGGTGACTGACATGGCGTGAGTCCAGTAACGGAAAGTTAGGTTCCATTACAAAAAGAAATAAGCAGAAAAGAAAAAGGAAAGGAAGTTGGGAGAAGGAGAAGAGGAGTGGAAGGGGGTGGGACTCAGGGAGTGTCCAGTCCATTGGGAGGCAACTAATGTGGCTGTCAGGCTCGCCAAGAAAAGCATAGGCCTAAGTATCAAGTGATAATATGAGCTAATCTGGAAGGGAGCATATACCATCTGGTCATCACTTTGTAGGCAGATTCCAGGGTAGTAACATTGATAGAGCAGGAAGCAGTGGATGACCAAATGGCCTGCCAGTCCAAGGTAGGCTTGTAGGCCTTCAATTCTTCCTCCCATTGAGCCACATAGGCATGAGCTGTTGGCGTGGGTAATCAGTTAAGCTGGGAGTATAATAAGGAAATAAGTTTATAAGCCAGTGGGGTGCAGTGGCAGGTGTGTTTGAAGATAGTAAATGATGTGGAAAGGTCTTTTTCTCAAATGAGACCAGTGATCCAGTGCCTAATCTGCATATATTAGAAGAGATAAGTTGCTGGACCACAAATCTCTGATGGTTTGCCATGACAGAATTTTCTCCAAAGAAGGAAAGGACATTATTAAATCTCTGCGTGGTCCACCAGCAAAAGGAGAGAGAAGAGTTCAGACTGCTGGAAATAGGGGTTTGGCCGTGAGAGGATGCAAAGGGAGATAGGGAGAAGGGAGACCACACCAGGTTTGTGATAGGTTTATTTGGCCTAGACTAGCAATGGGCAAACTACGGCCCGCGGGCCGTATACGGCCCGGCAGACCTTTTAATCCGGCCCGCGGAGCTAGGCTCCCGCTAGGCTCCTCTCACAGTCCGCCCTAAAGACTGGTGTAACATGAAAATCTGTCTCCTATGAGGATCTGTCCCCCTCGATGTATCTGCGCATGTGCCGGAGATCGCCGATCGGCTGCTAATGCCTGAAACTGGCACATGCGCAGATACGTCGAGGGGGACAGATCCTCATAGGAGACAGATTTTCATGCTACACCGGAACGGCGCGGGAGCACGGCGAGAGGAACGCGCGGAGCAAAGGTAAGTGAATTGACACAGGGGGGACTTGGGGACTTAATATGGGGGATGAATTAATATGGGGAATGAATTACTATAGGGGGGATGAATTACTATGGGGGATGAATTACTATATGGGGGATGAATTACTATATGGGGGATGAACTACTATATGGGGGATGAATTACTATATGGGGGATGAATTACTATGGGGGATGAATTACTATATGGGGGATGAATTACTATGGGGGATGAATTACTATGGGGGATGAATTACTATATGGGGGATGAATTACTATATGAGGGATGAATTACTATGGGGGATGAATTCCTATAGGGGGGATGAATTACTATATGGGGGATGAATTACTATATGGGGGGGATGAATTACTATGGGGGATGAATTACTATGGGGGAGGAATTACTATGTGGGGGATGAATTACTATGGGGGATGAATTACTATATGGGGGATGAATTACTATGGGGGATGAATTACTATATGGGGGACGAATTACTATGGGGGATGAATTACTATATGGGGGATGAATTACTATATGGGGGATGAATTACTATGCTGGATGAATTACTATATGGGGGATGAATTACTATGGGGGATGAATTACTATATGGGGGATGAATTACTATGGGGGATGAATTACTATATGGGGGATAATTTACTATGGGGGATGAATTTATATGGGGGATTAATTACTATGGGGGATGAATTACTATGGGGGATGAATTACTATATGGGGGATGAATTACTATGGGGGAAGAATTACTATATGGGGGATGAATTACTATGGGGGATGAATTACTATGGGGGATGAATTAGTATATGGGGGATTAATTACTATGCTTACTATGGGGGAATATTACTATACTTACTATGGATGACACATACACATCATTCATCTACTCTTGGTCCGGCCCCCGGGTCCAATATATGAACCCATTGCGGCCCTCAAGTCAAAAGGTTTGCCCACCCCTGGCCTAGACCATGGCCATACCAACTTCCTCTGCCCATCCTTAACCTGATTGCTCTGAAATTTCATCAGTTGGTGCCTTTGAGGAAACAGAAGATACTTTTGGCAATGGTTCAGCTGAAATAAAATATCTTTTTGCAGGCGAAACAGCATATTTTTAACTCTTGTTTATAGCTGTTTGCATTGTGTTTTCCCTATCAGAGCCACCAATAAACTTAAAGTGGTATTCTGGCTATGCACCTAACTAGCCTTAAAACTGTCTCCTCCCCCTCCTAAAACCCATGCTAACTAACCTGTGTTAGAAAGATGTATATACTGTTTTCAGCCCCCTCTGGTCTGGTCATGTGATCTCCCATGTCAGCCAATAAAGGTAGCAGGGGAGAGGAGAGAGCACACCAACAACAGCTAGTAAAGCCTGGAACAATGAGGTCACCCATAGGCTTCAATGGCCCATCTGTTGTTTGTGCCCTCTCCTCTCCCTAAAGCCGCGTTGTTTGACACAAAGGAGCCAAATCATGTGACTGGACTAGAGCAGCTTGAAAAGAGGTAAGTATATACAGTACATCTTTCTTACAAAGGCTATTTGTCATTGGTGTTTAGCTGGAATTCCACTTTAAAGCAGTAGTAAACGCTGGAGAAAAAATATATACATATCCGGGCCCCCTGCAGGTTTGTGTCATAATGTGCTAGTATGCAGTGCATACTCCTCACTGGCCTGCCTCGCCGCTGGCTATCCCCGCTTCAGTCGATCCTGAATACGGCTGCCAGACTCATTCACCTTTCCCAACCGCTCTGTCTCCGCCACCCCCCTCTGCCAATCCCTCCACTGGCTTCCGATTGCGCAACGGATCAAATTCAAAATCCTAACGCTGACGTACAAAGCTGTCCACCATATTGCCCCGTACTACATCACTGACCTAATATCCAAGTACTGCCCAGCACGCTCACTCCGCTCCTCACAAGACCTCCTTCTCTCTAGTTCCCTGGTCTCCTCCTCCCATGCCCGCCTCCAGGACTTCTCCAGGGTTTCACCCATCCTCTGGAACTCCCTGCCCCAACCCATCAGATTATCACCTACTCTCCTCTCCTTTAGGCGCACCCTGAAAACCCATCTCTTCAGGGAAGCCTACCCCCGCCCCCTGCTAACTTGCCGACCTCCTCCACTCTTCCTACCACTCCATCCCCCACAGCTATCTCCTCCTGTGCCACCATCCCCTCCCTCCTAGATTGTAAGCTTGAAAGAGCAGGGCCCTCGATCCCCTCATGTTTTGCATTGTATTGGTATTGTTCTGTCACATGTTCTGTCCCCCTTGTAATGTACAGCGCTGAGCGAACTATTGGCGCTTTATAAATACTGTATAATAATAATAATAATAATAATGACAAACTTACCTTTGAAACAAAGCCCTCCAGTGGTGTGCTGTACCACTGCTGACACTTCCACCTTCATCCTGTCTTCCTTCTGGGTTTGCATGCTCTGACCATCTGAATGGCCCAGGCCGTGATGATATCACTCTTGCGCAAGCATGCAGGAGTCATAATCGCAGCAAGGCGCTCTATATTCCACAGCACACTCTGTGAGTGTCACTGTGCATGATCCAGTGATGTCATTGGCTGTTGTCGATGTGAATAAATCCTAAATGGTTCTTGTTTTGAAGATATTCATTGTTTTCAACAGGTAAGCCTAATTGTAAGCTTACCTGTAGGTACCAATGTATAACAAGAATTTAATACTGCTTTAAGGAAATAGTTTGTATTCATAAGAATATTTCTGTTGTTTTGCAGAGCATCTGATCAAGAAGAAACATCGGTCCTTCCTCTCCTGCATGCTGGATTCAACAGGGTAAGGGGCATTTAACCTTGTTAGTTATTATATCTGTATAAGAAAATGGTGACTCAGGAATCATGTTCAGATCTTCATTGGGCTTACACAGGTTATAGACTTTATTACATATACACCACTGTTAAAATTTCTTTGATTTATTCAATTAATTTTAAAACATTCAAATTGATTTCTTTGTCTATTGCAAAGCCGGATTCTCCATTTTATTTGGGCTCATAAACGTCCCAGAGTGCCTAGATCCACTCTGTATACTCATAGACTACAAGGAGGTTTGGGAGTCCCACATGTTTCTAGATACTATTTGGTGGCTCAGATTTCTCAGTTGTCCGTGCTTCATGCCACGACAGATATCCCATTATCGGTACTCTTGGAATTACCCAACTGTGCTCCGCTTTCCTTAACTACATTATTTTGGCTCCCGCCTAAGTTGCGCCCTCCGGACCTGAGCCCTATCATGCTTCACAGTTTACAAACCTAGGATTCTGTTAAATATTCGGGTAATTTGATATCATCTTTTCTACCTCTTTTGCTGATTACGCATAATCCTTTATTTCCACCCAGGCTTATAACATCCCCCTTCTTTCTCTTGGTGGACCTCCCATGGCTTTGTTATTGTACATGATTTTCTGAGCACTCATTCGTTTCCATCATGGGAGTCTCTTTGAGAATCATGGGGGGGTCCTGCCATGGGAATATTATTGGTATTTGCAATTGCGCCACACTGGGTCCTATCCCTCCATCGTACCTCTACATATCCTTACTGCAAAATGCCCTTTTGAACATGTCTGTCAACATTCCCCAGGGTCCCTTGGTCTCATTTCTGTAATTTATGCCTCTCTTAACAGTAGGTCCTCCTCACCACCCCTGTCTTATGTCTCTCAATGGAAGTAAGATCTAGGTTTCTCGATTGCGGCGGAGGATTGGCGTAAGGCCTGGGAGATGGTGGCGAAATGTTCCTTCAATACCATCACTCTTGAGGCAGAAATTCTCATCCTACCTATTCATTTCAGCCAAACGTGCTATAGCTCAAGCTTGGAGAACCCCTTCGGTTGTCTTCCAGAGGGTGAAGACCCGGATAAATGCTATGCTGATCAATGAACAGATGTCTAGCGTTCTTCAAGATTCTCATCAGAGATTCCTTAAGGTTTGGGTACCTTGGATACATTATTCCCTGCCATCCCTGCCTCCTACTAGCTATGGCCTCTTATAGCCATTGCCTGTGCTAACCCTGGATCTGTGACTCTTCTAGTCTTCCTTTCTTCCATCTTTTCTCCCTGAATCTTTCTTCCTTCCTTATTTATTTCTCTGTTCTTATATTTTCCTTTTTTTTAAATCAGTTTGGGGTTTTTCTTCCCGTATGTTCTGAGCTGATACTTCTCGGTAGGGGTTTATCCTCTTTGGGGTTTTTTTTCGGTAATATGATGGATTGCTGCTGCTGCTATTTGGTTCGGCTTTTAGCCGTCCCTCCTTGGCATCATTGGACGTTCCCCTTATTTGGCTAGTACACCCTGCTGATTTGTATCTGCTTATGTATGCTAGTGTTCCGCTCTGCCCCTGCGTGGGCGTATCATGAGCTTGTTGTATTATAAAAACAAAAACTTCTTTAATAAAAATATTGAAATAGAAAACATTAAACATAAACATTGGCATAGCCCAGCATGGCTTCTGTTATACTTTTATACATAAACATGTATTACATAAAAGTAGCAAATTTGTTTCACAGCTTGTCATTGATCTTCTCACCAGTGCCCCTGCCATGCCATTCAGAATTTATAGATTATTTGGTCTGAACAATAATAAAGGTGACAAGAAGTACATTACAGGGTCGAAGATCAACGACATGCTGTGCAACAAATTTGCAAAACTTGTATGCAATATATTTTTTGAACAAATAAAAGAAGCCATGCTGGGCTATGACAAGTTACATTTTTTATGTTTTTTTATATGAATTGAATAAGTCAATTTGAACAGTGTTGTGTAGGTAATATATTATCAGGCAGCTTTAAAATCAATGAAAAAGAATATTTTCTAACCTTACTGGATGAACTTTCCTCATACTAAGATAAGGTTATGCTCCTATAATAGGAATAAACAAAATGAAGAATGTGCTGTAACTAAAGAATTTTACAACACTCCCTTGCTCTACAGAACAAAATGATTTTTAATATTCATAAAAAGAAATTAAAAAATAATAAACAAAAACAGACTGAAAACACTTCACTAGCCTCTTACATCAGTGGCCTATTGAAAAGTGCCATCTTACATTGATGGTAAGTGTAAAAGGGGCTCCTTACATTGGATGCCAATGGAAACTAGCCCCCTAACATTGATGGTTAGTATAGGTGGGAGATCAAGATCCACTATTGCTCATAGCTCAAGGAAACCCTAGCAACCTCTGGAGGAACCCTAGGGTTCCACAGATGCCAGGTTGAGAAAGGCTGTTTCAGACAGTTGTCTTGATAACGTGTCCATATTGGAGGATGTTCCTATTCTGGTGACAACTCCATATTTTAGATTTTTCTTTACTTTCACTCCCAGTGATATTGGTCATTAGGAAACAGATAGAAGGTAAATAATAGTCTAGGCAGCAATAACAACCTGACAGGGATTCTAACCCTTCCACAGTCCAACGTTTTCCTTTAGATACACTTTGAAGTATAAAATCCCACATGCGTGATCTTTAACATGCATGTGGGATTTTGGTGAAACAAGTCTGAGATTAGTTTTCAAGGATATAGACTCTAAAAAGATGACTGTATTTTTTCTAAAACTTTGAGGTAACATGCACATTTGCTACACAAGCCCTTTTGTAGCTTCTAGTTCTTCGTTATGTGCACAGAACAACCTCAGCGGTCAAGGCAACATAGCATGCAGGTGCATTTGGCTCATTCTAAAACTCAGCAGCTCGCCTTTTGTCCTGAACGAACACCACCCTAACAACACTGTGTTCACATGGAGGAAACTAATTCTCAGCATAACTGTAGTTAATTGTAGTAATGTTTTAAAGAATACTGTCATTTTAAAACTAGCAGAAATCTATTGATATATTTTGCAGAGATTTTATGAGAATAACAGTATGATTGCCTGTTACAATGAGCTTATCCAGATAGAACATGGGGAGGTTCGCTCACACTTCAAACTGAGGTAGGTATGCATATACATGGGGAAAATTATGTTTATATGGATGCAGTATGACCAGCATAATGGATACTTGTGTTAAAGTTGAGCTAAATGCACCTATAACAAGCTATATTGTATGTGGGAGATTGGCTATTTTATATATTTTCTTTTTTTATATTAAATAAATACTCCACTGACAGATGTTGGTTTATTATTTTATTAAGTCCAGGAAAATCCTATTCACAGTAGGAAAATCTGCAAATGTATCTGAAGTGCTGTTGCAAAAATCAGGCTGGTTGAAAAAATCAGTGACAACTTATGCAAGGATCTGAACATTCTGTCTTAAATTATTATAATTTTGCAGGCTTACCTATACGTATAAGATTTAAATTCAACCACTTATTAGGCTTTAATTTGTTTCTGGATTCTTCTTGGAGTTAAGAGTCAGAGATGATAAGCCACCCTAAGGTTTGATAGTTGCTGCCCTGTCAGTGGCCTGAACTCATCCTGATAACACTTGCTGTCTTCCAGTTACTATGTAATTATAGCACTGTAGTTTGCTTCATTAAATTAAAAGTTAAAAGGGCTTACAACAACTTTTTGAAATTACACTACCATATTAAAATTGATGCAAGGTTTTAGGAATTGGGTTTAGATCTACTTTATGTATAATAAGTGGACAAACATATGTACACTCAGTAAGTAAGCCTGCACCAGTATGAATTATTTAAGACCAAATATACGTGTTCTTGCATAAACTCAGTCATTAATGGTTCTGTTTAAAGAATAAGTTCACCTCTGGGAACATGTTACATGTTCCACCCGTTTTTAGTGCTGGTTCACATACACTATATTGCAAAAAGTATTGGGACATCTGCCTTTACATGCACATGAACTTTAATGGCATCCCAATCTTAGTCCGTAGGGTTCAATATTGAGTTGGCCCACCCTTTGCAGCTATAACAGCTTCAACCCTCCTGGGAAGGCTGTCCGCAAGGTTTAGGAGTCTGTCTATGGGAATGTTTGACCATTTTTCCAGACCATTTGTGAGGTCAGGCACTGATATCAGACGAGAAGGCCTGACTCTCAGTCTCTCCTCTAATTTATCCCAAAGGTGTTCTAACAGGTTGAGGTGCAGGCCAGTCAAGTTCCTCCACCCCAGACTTGCTCATCCATGTCTTTATGGACCTTGCTTTGTGCACAGGTGCACAGTCATGTTGGCACAGGAAGGGGCCATCCCCAAACTGTTCCCACAAAGTTGGGAGCATGATATTGTTCAAAATGTCTTGGCATGCTGACGCCTTAAGAGATCCCTTCACTGGAACTAAGGGGCAAAGCCCAACCCCTGAAAAACAACCCCACACAATAATACCCCCTCCACCAAACTGTACACTTGGCACAATGCAGTCAGGCAAGTACCGTTTTCTTGGCAACTGCCAAGCCCAGACACGTCCATTGGATTGCCAGACAGAGAACACTTCTCCACTGCTCTAGAGTCCACTGGCGGCGTGCTTTACATCACCGCATCCGACGCTTTGCAATTCACTTGGTGATGTAAGGCTTGGATGCAGCTACTTGGTCATGGAAACCCATTCCATGAAGCTCTCTACACACTGTTGTGCTAATCTGAAGGCCACATGAACTTTGGAGGTCTTTAGCTATTAACTCTGCAGACAGTTTGCGACTTCTGTGCACTTCAGCATGCGCTGACCCTGCTCTGTGTGAATAGTGTAAATGTGGATTGGATGCGGTTTGAACTGCGTCCAATCTGTGTGACATGTGAAATAACATTGCTTCGTGTGGTGCCTGTTCACATATGTCCGGTGCACTGGTGGTGTGGATTCAGTGCAGTTTGAAAAAGAGTCATGTACCATTTCTTAGCAGTGCCTTCAGGTTCAGGTGCGAATTACAGGCTATTGACTTCTATGGGGACCATTTCTAAACTGAATATGTGTAAACAGGAGAAAATACTGACCTAATCCGCACCTAAACCTGATGTAAACCTGTACTAGATGTTTAAATAATATGGTGTAGTGCTAATCCACTAACACATAATAATTGTATACATAAAAAGTGAATATAAACAACATGCACATAAATAATAAATGGCAATACTAAAGTGATCTGATCCAATCAGGATCTAATAGTGAAATATACAAGGTGAAACGTGAAATGCCAGGAATGTTCCTGTATGAACCCCTATTAAGTGAAAAACACAAATGAACAAATCCTCAAACCCCCATATCCCCAAGAGATCCCATCAATAGCGGCACTTACTCCTCTCAGGTCCCCTCCAGCTACAGGTATGCGCAATATAGCTCACTCTTCCATAAAGGATCATATTAATAAAAAAGAAAGATCCTCCATAGTGTAATAAGGTTTATTAATGCACAAACAATGAAAAAACGCCAGTTGCCCACTCAATTGTACTCAATAGAACATCAGCCTTGTAAACCTCATGCTATGGGTGTACTGCATGGGTTTTCAGGTGTACCAAAATGGCGCCCACAGCTGGAACTACATCACCGCGTACCGGAAGCACGTCACCGCGTGTGACTTGCTTCCGGGTACGCGGTGACGTAGTTCTGGCGTGGGCACCATTTTGGGTACGCAGTGATGTGTTTCCAGTACGCGGTGATGTAGTTCCGGCATGGGCGCCATTTGGTACACCTGAAAAACAATGCGGCCATGCGGGGCTCCGCTCACATGGCCGCATTATTTATTCTCAGAGTTCTGTGAATGAATGAACTACAAGTCCCGACAGCCTTAGTTATATTACGTATATATACTTAATTATAAGTACATCTGCAGTGACAGTTTGTTCTTAGTCCTGCTGCAAAGTCAAAAAAACACTTGCTGAGCCTACAGGCAAAGTTCAGCTAATGCATCTTCTAGTGTGGCAACGATGCTGCATCACTCCTAAATTCAGAGCAGAGTTGCCACTCTCATGTAGACCGTGTCAGTGTTAGTTAGTACCTGGCCATACCAAGTCCTGCCCACTGCATTTTAAATTGACAACACTGCTTCTTATGCTGAAACCCTCCAACTGTGGGCTGCAGTGTCTGGGAGCGGGAGCATGTGAGACACACATAAAGGAGGTTTTTTTCTCAGGAAGGGTAAGGGACGTTTTTGTTTACTTTATGAGGTCTCTGCATCCCATAGTAACTGGATTTGGGGCTTGTTTAGACTGTTATACATGAGCTGTTAGTTGTACTTTAATATGGATATAATGTAGATAATGGTGCTGCTGCTGTTTTTCAAAAGAGCCTCAGAAGATCAGAAAATGCCTGCATTGTATGTTCGTATATGCTATTTCAAGAGTCTTCCAATCCTACTCAGGAGAACAGTGCAAAACTTGCTGAAGTTGGGTGATATAGATAATTAAAAGCCACTAATAAAGATTTATAGGGGGGGTTCTCTGATATTAGAACATTTGCAGCATTTTCTGGATAATCTTAACAGTCAGGGATTGAGTCTAGTGGCCTAGAGTTGCTGTTTATGTTTTGCAAACATCAGTTTTAACAAGACAATAACAATCTCCACAAATGAAATTACATTACTTCTTTTTGGCTGGACATTCTACTCCACAGTGATATTGATCTTAGGAAGTTAAATAGCTCGTTCTAAAGTGAGTTTGGCCAGTGGAGGTTTCCATTAATGTGTCTATATCAATTTTCAATGTGAAAGCCTCTTTTGTGCGTAACTTAATAATAATTATTGACTGTGTGTTTGTTGTAGGTCCTGCAATTCAATATTTACAGCGTTAGAACACTGCCAAGAAGCCGTAGAGATTACAAGTGAAGAACATGTCATACAGGTACAGATAAGTTATTCATGCAATTAGTAGTGTTTAGGTTGTATGGTCATGTTTATTTTTGGAGTATATTACTTTCAGAAGTTTGACAAGAGACCTGGCACAGCCAAGAGAGTAGATAAAAGTGGTTGTAACGAGAGAAATACCACTAAGAGATTAAAGGCAGATCCAGCTAACATCTGACAATTCACACACACACTGTCAGGGAGCGAGGAGCCAGACACACAAGGAGGTGCAATTAAAGGTAGGTTTATTAATATAAAAATAAGACAAGAGTCTATGCAAGTCCAACAGTGGAAATCGTAGCCAAAGCCGGGTCAAGGGCCAGGAAGAATCGTCGCCAGAGCCGGGATCAGAAGCCAGGAAGAATCGTTGCCAGAGCCGGGATCAGGAGCCAGGAAGAATCATCGCCAGAGCCGGGATCAGGAGCCAGGAAGAATGGTCGCCAGAGCCGGGATCAGGAACCAGGAAGAATGGTCGCCAGAGCCGGGATCAGGAGCCAGGAAGAATGGTCGCCAGAGCCGGGATCAGGAACCAGGAAGAATGGTCGCCAGAGCCGGGATCAGAAGCCAGGAAGAATGGTCGCCAGAGCCGGGGTCAGAAGCCAGGAGGAGTCTTAGCCAAAGCCGAGTCGGTATCCAGGAAAGCAATGAGTAGCTAAACAGGAGCTTGCTGTTGTGCAACAGACAGGACACGAATGCAATGGACAGCCACAAACAGCAGACTTATATGTGATAAGCCGCCACCTCTTGGGGGAGGAACCGCCGAGGGCTGAAAGCATAAAGGATCCCACAATGCTTTGCAGACACCTAAGATGGATGCCAGCACATGGAGCAGCACAAGGTCTGAGGAAAGGTAGGACCTTGACACACACACACGAGAAGTATTTCCATGCCACAAAGATTTGTAGTGTATTCATCTCTACAGTGTTGTGTGACACATTTCAATGCATGTAGTTCAGCAGGACATGCCATGGTCATGTATCCTTCCAGTTTCTTGGAGTACTAATGAACACTATTACTAATGCCTGCCATGAACAATTCCCATCCTCTAAGTCAGCCTTTCGCAAACTTTTTAATGTGGAAGAACCCTTGAAATAACTTTACAGCCACATGGAACCTCTGCACGTAATACTATATCTACAGCTCAGGGTCCATGAGCATGATGAGGGAAGACTTCTCCTAATTTTTTTGGTCAGAGGAAAAAATCCCCCTCCCCCTTACAGATAACTGCCTGTGTATGACATATAATATAAGTCAAAAATGCCACACAATGGTGATTCAAAGAAAAAAGTGCTTTCGCAAAGGAACGTTCCTCCAACGAAGGACATGGAATCACACCACATTCATATGTGGAGCCCCGCATAATGAAAGTATGTTTATTAAAAACCATACCATGTTAATTTGCTTCAGCCTTGTTCCCACATTGTTCCAACCTCTCATCACAGATATACTGTAAGTGCACTTTATGTCTCCCAGATAAAAATCACTTAAGCACTCCAAACTTATCTTTGCCACATCTGTGGCTTCATCAGTGCACATGAACAGTGTGAAATCTAATCGCAACATGTCACACTAATGAGCCCCTGATGAGTCTTTTGTATTCTGAAGCAAAGTGGCTTAATGGCCTCATTTTAGATCACCTGTACCTTAGAGCAGGGGTCTCCAAACTTTCTAAACAAAGGGCCAATTTACTGTCCTTCAAACTTTTTGGTGGGCCAGACTATGGCCAGTGGGAGAAGAATATGTCCTGGCGTCAGTGGGAGTAAACAGTGCCCCATCGTTGGTATTAGAGGGAGTAATAGTGCTCCATCAGTGGTATCAATGGGAGGAATAGTGCTCCATCAGTGATATCAATGGGAGGAATAGTGCCCCATCATTTCTGTCAGTGGTAGGAATAGCATCCCATTGTTGGTGTTAGTGGGAGGAATAGTGCCCCATCGTTGGTGTCAATGGGAGGAATAGTGCCCCATCATTGGTGTAATAGGAGGAATAGTTCCCCATCATTGGTGGCAATGGGAGGAATAGTGCCTCATCATTGGGGGCCATGGGAGGAATAGTACCCTAACTTTGGTATCAATAGGAGGAATAGTGCCCCCTTATTGGTATCAATAGGAGGAATAGTGCCCCATCATTGGTATCAATAGGAGGAATAGTGTCCTTTTGTCGGTGTCAGTGGCAGGAATTATGCCCCACTGTTGCTGACAGTGGGGGAAATAATGCCCCAAGGGCCACATAAAAGCAAGAAAGAGCCACATTCAGCCCCTGGGCCAAAGTTTGGAGACCACTGCCTTAGAGCACTGGGTTCCTTGGTTTGATATTATCTGTAGGGAGTTTGCATGTTCTTCTTGTGCTTGCATGGGTTTACTCCCCCACATTACAAAAATATGTTGGTCTTAGTATAATATTCTACAGAGCACTCCTGAGACAGCTGTCTCACCATCTGCCTTGACAGCAGATAAAGTGCTTCCCAGTGAGAAAACAGTATAGAATAAATATTAATAATAATAATTAATAACTTGAATGGGCAAGGTGACAGTGCCTTTTTAGACAAATCTCATGTTTACATTGTATATTACATTTCCTAACACTCATGGCTCTTGCATTATGACCTGCCTCCAGCCTGGGTTATACACTCACTGGCCACTTTTATTAGGTACACCTGTTCAATTGCTTGGTAACAAAAATTGCTAAAAAAATTGCTAATCAACCAATCACATGGAATCAACTCAATGCATTTAGGCATGTAGACGTGGTGAGGACGACTTGCTGAAGTTCAAACTGCGCATCAGAATGGGGAAGAAAGGGGATTTAGGTGACTTTGAATGTGGCATGGTTGTTGGTGCCAGACGGGCTGGTCTGAGTATTTCAAAAACTGCTGATCTACTGGGATTTTCACACACAACCATCTCTAGGGTTTACAGAGAAAGGTTGGAAGAAGAGAAAAAAATCCAGTGAGTGGCAGTTGTGTGGACAAAAATACCTTGTTGATGCCAGAGGAGAATGGGCAGACTGGTTGCTGCGACATTCAGATGGTGTAAACAACATGAAAGCAAGCACCATCCTGCCTTTTATCAACGATTCAGGCTGGTGATGTAATTGTGTGGGGGATATGTTCTTGTCACTAGCAACATGTACCTAGTAAAGTGGCCAGTGAGTGTATGTGCCTTCACTAAACATATCTACTTATATATGTCCTTAAAGAGGCCCATGGCCAATTACAAACCTGACCAACATAAAAGAAAACAACATTTAGGGAAAAAAAAAAATTAATTCCTAAAGTTTAGCTTTATAAAGCCTGAATAAGGGATCTAAACGTGGCATCTTAAAACATAGCATCTTAATCAACAAAGAGTATCACAACTTCAAACTTCTACTACTACAAAAAAAAAGATTGACATAATCAACTAGATTCTTGGATTTTGTTTTAGCTAATTCTAATTATTATTTTTTAAACATACTCTTAATAACTTCACAGTTCTAAGTACTTATAACTTGTCAGTATGTTAATCCAGCTTTTGAACGGATGATGGGCTATACCAAAGAGGAACTCCTGGGGAAAGAACTGATAGAATTGCCGAAAAGTGACAAGAACCGAGCAGACCTTTTAGATACCATCAATACATGCATCAAAAAGGGAAAGGTAAGCCAAAAGATGGTATGAGCTGCATCATAATTTTACATTTCAATATCCTTCTATCCTTACAGTGGGGAAAATAATTATTTGATCCCCTGGAGATTTTGTAAGTTTTCCCACTTACAAAGAATATGATTTTTATCATAGGTGTATTTTAAATGTTAGAGACAGAATATCAACCAAAGATCCAGAAAAAACACATGACACAAATGTTATAAATTGAGTTGCAGTTCAGTGAGTAAAATAAGTATTTGATCCCCAAGCAAAGCATGACTTAGTACTTGGTGGAGAAACCCTTGTTGGCAAGCTCAGAGGTAAAATGTTTCTTGTAGTTGGTTACCAGGTTTGCACACATTTCAGGAGGGATTTTGATCCACTCTTCTTTTTAGATTTTCTCTAAATCCTTAAGGTTTCTTGGCTGTCGCTTGGCAACTTAAAAGTTTCAGCTTCCTCCATACATTTTCTATAGGATTAAGGTCTGGAGACTGGCTAGGCCACTCCATGACTTTAATGTGCTTCTTCTTGAGCCACTCCTTTGTTGCCTTGTCAGTATGTTTTGGGTCATTGTCATACTAGAAGACCCATCCACGACCCATCATCAGTGTTCTGACTGAGGGAAGAAGGTTCTCATCCAAGATTTTACAATACATGGTCCCGTCCACTAGCCCCTCAATGCGGCAAAGTCAGCCTGTACCTTTAGCAGAGAAACAGCCCCAAAGCATAGACGAGTTGTCGATAGGAACACCTTCTTAAATTGACAAGACTAATCTGTGTACTACATGAGCACATAGCCAGTCTGTGGGAGCCAGAATTATTGTTAGTTGGTAGCGGATCAAATACTTATTCACTGAACTTCAATATTCTGTCTTTATTATTAAAAATATTCTTATGATAAAAGTTATAGGCCCTTCATTTCTTAGTAAGTGGGCAATCTTACAAAATATTTATTTTCTCCATTGTATATTCTATCCTATCAATCTGTTTTTAGTAAAGCTGGTCATAGATGGGTAGAATTTCAAACACAAATTCTTAGGAAAAAAAATGTTCTGTGAATGTTAATTCATTTTTGTAATCATTAGTGAGTCAAATCGACTTATTTTTCGACTGCACTGATGAGAAAATTCAAAGGAGCAGGATAGAAAATGTTTCTTAAATGAACAAATTTCTAACAATGTATGGATTTTCGTTTGGTAAAGTCTATTCATTCCAAAATAAAATGTTAAAAGCAAACAAAATCTTTCAAACGACATTTGAATGTTTTGAGAATTTTCAGACAAATTTTCCTAAGACTTTTTCTAAGAATTTTCATTTGAAATGCTATCCATTTATAGCCAGCTGTAGAGTAATGTAATACATGCAACCACTCAACATAATATTCAATTATCTGACTCCAGTGAACTGAAGTCTTATTGGTTGACATGGCTTACTTCATTTGCACAACATTGTTCCTTGAACTACTTTACAGAAAAAAAGACGGAAGATCTCATACAAGCTGTCCTAACTTACATTTCTGCCTCAACAGCACATTTTGTTTCATGTCTACAGTTTAAAGTATAACTTAAAGTATAACTTTTCTTTAGTTTTGGAGGGAGTGGAGAGGGATTAATACACTTGTTAATATTTATTGCTGTTTGTGACCCTTTTAAGCAGATTCACCCTCTCTATGTTTCCTGTTTTCCATTAGCATTGAAGTGAAAGTAAAAAGAAATCCCAAAATGTTGGGTTGTCCCCCAAGAACAGAAAGAGGGGGAAATCTTCCAATGGGGGCACAAGTTCTAGTGGCCTGGGGCTTCTCCGGGGATTCCCTTACTTTGAAGGGATTTCCTCTCACTTTCTGTTTTGGCTATGGGACAGGATGCAAAGGTAAATCTCCCCAATGGGGCACAGATAACAAAAATAAACCAATAGGGTTTATAACCCTTCCATACTCTAAATGAAAAAAAAAATTTCCTATAGTTCTACTCTAAAGTGAAGATATAACCACTTTTTAAACTTCCTTTTACTTTATTTTCCTTTAATGAAAGGAATGCAAGGGATTTATTATGCAAGACGGAAATCGGGTGACAGCATCCAGCAACATGTGAGAGTCACTCCTGTAGTCGGTCAAGGAGGGTGAGTATAAACATCATAAAGTAGACTAAAATAACATTTAAGAAAACCTTTTTCCCTTTAATGATTTTAGTTCTAGCTCTCTAAAGATCACTTATTCATTCATCATCGACCCAGCATGCCCCGGTTGATGACATCACAAGAGGGCTGGGTCATACACATGATGTCACTGGGTGGCCTCGCCCCGTACATATTTAAGAACTGTCAATCCAGCAGAGCAGTCAGACGGCGGGAGCCAACATCGGGAGTGGAGCCTTTGTTGTTTTCTTTTTTCAGGTGGTGGCGGTGGGCATCGTGATTGATGTTGGATTTACTTTGGGGGACATTCTTTTATTTTTCTTCTTTTAATAAAGGACTTGTCAAAGACCGTATCCTGTCTTTTTTCACACTACACTTTTTTTTTGAGAATGGGGAGCGGTACCATGTGCCCCATACTTATTCACATAGGTGGTGGCCGGGATCTGGGAGCCTCCTTGCTAAAGGGGGTTTCCAGATTCAGATAAGCCCCCCACATGCAGACCCCCACAACCACCAGCCACGGTTGTGGGGAAGAGGTACCTGTCCCCATCAACATGGGGGCAAGGTGCTTTGGGGGGAAAGCCCCTCCCGCTTAAATGCAGACCCCCATGTTGAGTGCATGTAGCCTGGTATGGTTCTGGGGGGGGGGGGCGCTCGCCCCCCCCCTTTTCTGCCTTTCCGGCCTGTATGCTTGGATAAGGGTCTGGTATGGATTTTGGAGGGGACCCCACACCATTTTTTAAAATTTTGGCATGGGGGTTCCCCTCAAAATCCATACCAGACCCGAAAGGCTTGGTATGGATGGAGGGGGGGACCCCACGTCGTTTTTAAAAAAAAAAAATTTTTAATTGCTGGCAATTCTTTCTTTTACATTCAGCTTTCAATGGAGAACCCTGCTGACAGCTGAAACATTAACGCATGCTTTTCACTACTAAAATACCGCATGACTTGATAAAATAACTCATGCTGTATTTTAGTAGTGTTTTTTAGTGAATTCAAACTTTTTTTTAAAAAATGCTATGCGTTATACTACCACATACTCAGATGCGGTAGGATACCGCGTAGTGAATTGTGCCCATTGTCATAAAATCGAAGTCTGAGTTCAGTTTTCAGACTTTATGAGAAAAGTAATTGTAAGCAGTGAAGCAAATATTTTCTGTATTCCATTCAACACAAAAAAAATTAAATAAAAATAAAATAGTACAGCCCTGGCCAAAAGTTTTGAGAACAACACAACTATTAATTTTCACAAATCTGCTGCTTCAGTGTTTTTAGATATTTTTGTCAGATGTTACATGGTATACTGAAGTATAATTACAAGCATTTCAAGGCTTTTATTGACAGTTACATTAAGTATATGCAAAGAGTCAATATTTGCAGTGTTGACCTGTCTTTTTCAAAACCTCTGCAATTTGCCCTGACATGCTGTCAATCAACTGCTGGGCCACATCCTAACTGATGGCAACACATTCTTGCATAATCAATGCTTGGAGTTTGTGAGAGTTTGTGGGGTTTTTTTGTTCAACAGCCTCTTGAGGATTGATCACAAGTTCTCAATAGGATTAAGGTTTGGTGAGTTTCCTGGCCATGGACCCAACATTTCGATGTTTTCTTCCCTAAGCCACTTAGTTATCACTTTTGCCTTTGGCAAGGTGCTCCATCATGCTGGAAAAGGTATTATTCATCACCAAACTGTTCTTGGATGGTTCAGAGAAGTTGCTGTCAGAGGATGTTTTTGTACCATTCTTTATTCATGGCTGTGTTTTTAGTCAAAATATTGAGTGAGCCCACTCCCTTGGCTGAGAAACAACCTCACACATGAATGGTCTCAGGATGGTTTACTGTTGGCATGACACAGGACTGGCGGTAATGCTCACCTTTTCTTCTCCGGACAAGGTTTTTGTGGCAGGGCTGAAATGCAGTGGAAATATTTTTTGGGGATTAAGTTCATTTTCATGGCAAAGAGGGACTTTGCAATTAATTGCAATTCATCTGATCACTCTTCATAACATTCTGGGGTATATGCAAATTGACATAATAAAAACTGAGATAGCAGACTTTGTGAAAATTAATAATTGTGTCATTCTCAAAACTTTTGGCCACGGCTGTACATAATTCATACACTCACCAGCCACTTTATTAGCTACATCTGTTCAATTGCTTAGTAACACAAATTGCTAATCAGCCAATCACATGGCATCAACTCAATGCATTTAGGCATCTAGATGTGGTGAAGACGACTTGCTGAATTTCAAACCGAGCATCAGAATGGGAAAGAAAGGGGATTAATGTGACTTTGAACATAGCATGGCTGTTGGTGCCAAAACTGCTGATCTACTGGGATTTTCATGCACAACCATCTCTAAGGTCTACAGAGAATGGTCAGAAAAAGACAAAATATCCAGTGAGCGACAGTTGTGTGGACGAAAATGCCTTGTTGATGTCAGAGGTCAGAGGAGAATGGGCAGACTGGTTTGAGATGTCAGAAAGGCAACAGTAACTCATGTCAATATGGACCAAAATGTTTCCAATGCCTTGTTGAATCTATGCCATGAAGAATTAAGGCAGTTCCGACGGCAAAAAGGGTCCAACCCGGTACTAGCAAGGTGTACTTAATAAAGTGGCCGGTGAGTGTATATACAGTCAGGTCCATAAATATTGGGACATCGACACAATTCTAACATTTTTGTCTCTTTACACCACCACAATGGATTTGAAATGAAACGAACAAGATGTGCTTTAACTGCAGACTGTCAGCTTTAATGTGAGGGCATTTACATCCAAATCAGGTGAACGGTGTAGGAATTACAAAAGTTTGCATATGTGTCTCCCACTTGTTAAGGGACCAAAAGTAATGGGACAGAATAATAATCATAAATCAAACTTTCACTTTTTAATACTTGGTTGCAAATCCTTTGCAGTCAATTACAGCCTGAAGTCTGGAACGCATAGACATCACCAGACGCTGGGTTTCATCCCTGGTGATGCTCTGCCAGGCCTCTACTGCAACTGTCTTCAGTTCCTGCTTGTTCTTGGGGCATTTTCCCTTCAGTTTTGTCTTCAGCAAGTGAAATGCATGCTCAATCGGATTCAGGTCAGGTGATTGACTTGGCCATTGCATAATATTCCACTTCTTTCCTTTAAAAAACTCTTTGGTTGCTTTTGCAGTATGCTTTGGGTCATTGTCCATCTGCACTGTGAAGCGGCGTCCAATGAGTTGTGAAGCATTTGGCTGAATATGAGCAGATAATATTGCCCGAAACACTTCAGAATTCATCCTGCTGCTTTTGTCAGCAGTCACATCATCAATAAATACAAGAGAACCAGTTCCATTGGCAGCCATACATGCCCACGCCATGACACTACCACCACCATGCTTCACTGATGAGGTGGAATGCTTAGGATCATGAGCAGTTCCTTTCCTTCTCCATACTCTTCTCTTCCCATCACTCTGGTACAAGTTGATCTTGGTCTCATCTGTCCATAGGATGTTGTTCCAGAACTGTGAAGGCTTTTTTAGATGTCGTTCGGCAAACTCTAATCTGGCCTTCCTGTTTTTGAGGCTCACCAATGGTTTACATCTTGTGGTGAACCCTCTGTATTCACTCTGGTGAAGTCTTCTCTTGATTGTTGACTTTGACACACATACACCTACCTCCTGGAGAGTGTTTTTGATCTGGCCAACTGTTGTGAAGGGTGTTTTCTTCACCAGGGAAAGAATTCTTCGGTCATCCACCACAGTTGTTTTCCGTGGTCTTCCGGGTCTTTTGGTGTTGCTGAGCTCACCGGTGCGTTCCTTCTTTTTAAGAATGTTCCAAACAGTTGTTTTGGCCACGCCTAATGTTTTTGCTATCTCTCTGATGGGTTTGTTTTGTATTTTTCAGCCTAATGATGGCTTGTTTCACTGATAGTGACAACTCTTTGGATCTCATCTTGAGAGTTGACAGCAACAGATTCCAAATGCAAATAGCACACTTGAAATGAACTCTGGACCTTTTATCTGCTCATTGTAATTGGGATAATGAGGGAATAACACACACCTGGCCATGGAACAGCTGAGAAGCCAATTGTCCCATTACTTTTGGTCCCTTAACAAGTGGGAGGCACATATGCAAACTGTTGTAATTCCTACACCGCTTACCTGATTTGGATGTAAATACCCTCAAATAAAGCTGACAGTCTGCAGTTAAAGCACATCTTATTTGTTTCATTTCAAATCCATTGTGGTGGTGTATAGAGCCAAAAATGTTAGAATTGTGTCGATGTCCCAATATTTATGGACCTGACTGTACCACTTGCAGGTAGCAGTGTACATGAAAATGTAAGATTACAAAATGTTTCCAAAAATCTGAAAGATATTCTTGCAAATTAAACATACTAGTTTTTTCTTTCCAAAGTACATAGCAGTTTTGCAGTGAGGGCCCTTTGTAAAATATGTATAGATTCTTGCTGATTGTATAGGTCAGTGTTCTACATGAAAGTCTATATTATGTATGTGCACAGTTTCCAAACTGTTTATTGTTTTCTCATTAAGACCTCATGCATCCTGGGCCTCAAAAACGCCACTTTTAGGAGCAGTTGACGTTTTAGAGGAAAAAAAAAAAAAGGGGGATAATTTTAGTAGAAAAAAAAGCCTGACGTGCCTAAACGCATCTAAACACTCCTAAACACTGGATGCATTTAGCTCTTAAGTGTTCATTTAAATGTCCAGAAAAAAATGATTCTGCCCAATGGAATGAATGAACGTCCAAATGCTTGACATGCCTAAACGTGTTTGCAAAATGTAGCTTTAGTCACGTGTTTTACACTACTTTTCTCCTGCCAGGAGAAAAGGATTCCATAAGAATTGGCAAACACCCGGTGTGCATGAAGCCTAAATGTAGTATATTTCTGTTTTAAACAGTGCCATACTCTTCCTTCATACCAAATGGCTTTTGCTATAAAGTTCTGGTTTTCTTCTAATTTTGGTTAACACTTTTATAGTAATACACTGACGTGACATTTTCTCTTTTTTGCCAACAAAAAAAATGCATAAAATTAATATATAAAGTCCAGCCTACAGTACCATTGTAATGTATATGGAATCATTGATAACGAGCAAGATGTAAATGATTAATTGTTGCATGTTTATATTACTAGGAAAATTAGACATTTTGTGTCCATCAAGAAGCTTTGCAGTGGCAGTGACAACAATAAACAGGTACGACTGCTTTAATATGTCTATGCAAAATGAAACCACATTTGTTACCATTTCTTCACTTCATTTAAATATCTAACACTGATTTATTATCAAGCCATAGACGGCTATATGTTCGGTCAAATGCAACGAAGGAACAGGTGAATTTCTTTTACATTTTCTGAAGAGAATGGTATTTTGATTCATTTTTTTATTGTCAGATTCATTCATGCTATATCAGCTGTCCAGTCAGTATTCAAAATTTTCTTCCAGCAGAGGTCCGAGTGTCATGTTGGTGCTTTGACTCCCACCCATCACAGGCCCCCCATCACAGTCCCCTCAATCACAGATCCCTCATCACAGACCCCTCTACACAGACTCCCCATTACAAACCCCCCCAATCACAGTTAACTCATCACAGACCCCCCCCCCCAATCACAGAAACCCCCATCATAGACCCCCATCACAGACCTCTCATCACAGACTCCCTAATAACAGACCCCCCCAATCACAGACCCCCCATCACAGACCCTCACCACAGATCCCTCATCACAGAACTCTCAATCACAGATTCCCCCCCCATCACAGTCCTCCCTCCATTACAAACTCCTGTCCCTTTCATAACATCTAAAAATCTGCGCTCCACAGAGTAACTACACAGAGCCAGCTGCTATCATCTAAACCAGCGGTTTTCAACCTGGGGGTCGCACGACCATTTCCCAGGGGTCGCCTAAGACCATCGGAAAACACATATTTCCGATGGTCTTAGGAACCGAGACACCGCTCCTCCGTCTCAGGCGATGTGTGGGCGGGATGATATGCTGCCCCTGTCACCTGGCCACACCTCCGGGATCGCTCAACAGCTCTGCCTCCTCGCCGCTGATTGGCCACCGGAACTGTAGCTCAGGAGAGGCACACAGGCGGCCAATCACCGGCGAGGAGGTGGAGCTTGGAGAGGAGGAGCCGAGCGGAAGCGCGCGTAGATCAAAGAAGATCGAGGGAGCTGCTGGAGCAAGTGAAGAGAGAGCGGCCAGAGAAGGAAGACAGCTGACAGGTAAGTGCAAATTTTGCTGCTGCAGCCAGGTATGCAGCCTGTAGATGGGAGAGGGAGAGAGCGAGCCCAGGCTGGAGCAGGGGTCAGCAAGGTAAGTATCATTGGTGTCAGTGGGAGGAATAATGCCCCATCATTGCTGTCACTAATACCAACGATGGGGCACTATTCCTCCCCCCACTGACACCAACGATGGGGCACTATTCCTCCCCCCACTGACACCAATGATGGGGCACTATTCCTCCCCCCACTGACACCAACGATGGGGCACTATTCCTCCCACTGACACCAAGAATGGGGCACTATTCCTCCCTCCACCGACACCAACGATGGGGCACTATTCCCCCCCCACCTGACACCAATGATGGGGTACTATTCCCCCCCCACTGACCCAATGATGGGGCACTATTCCCCCCTCCACCACACTGACATCAATGATGGGGCACTATTCCTCCCACTGACACCAATGATGGGGCACTATTCCTCCCACTGACATCAATGATGGGGCACTATTCCTCCCACTGACACCAATGATGGCACTATTCCTCCCACTGACACCAATGATGGGGCACTATTTTCCTCCCACTGACACCAATGATGGGGCACTATTCCTCCCACTGACACCAATGATGGGGCACTATTCCTCCACTGACACCAATGATGGGGCACTATTCCTCTCACTGACACCAACGATGGGGCACTATTCCCCCCACTGACACCAACGATGGGGCACTATTCCCCCACTGACACCAATGATGGGGCACTATTCCCCCACTGACACCAACGATGGGGCACTATTCCTCTCACTGACACCAATGATGGGGCACTATTCCTCCACTGACACCAACGATGGGGCACTATTCCTCCCACTGACACCAACGATGGGGCACTATTCCCCCACTGACACCAACGATGGGGCACTATTCCCCCCACTGACACCAATGATGGGGCACTATTCCTCCCACTGACACCAACGATGGGGCACTATTCCTCCCACTGACACCAACGATGGGGCACTATTCCTCCCACTGACACCAACGATGGGGCACTATTCCTCCCACTGATACCAACGATGGGACACTATTCATCCCACTGACATCAGTGATGGGGCACTACTCCTTCCACTGACACCAATGATGTGGCACTAGTCCTCCCACTGCAAAATTACAGTTATGAAGTAGCAACGAAAATAATTTTATGGTTGGGGGTCACCACAACATTAGGAACTGTATTAAGGGGTCGCGGCATTAGAAAGGTTGAGAACCACTGATCTAAAACCCTATACCACGGGACAAAATGATAGCTAAAAATGGATGAAGCGTTTAGTAATGAGGGTACTAAACATGTTAATACTGAATAAATATAATTGCAAAAATATTTAACTTTTTATAAACGTGACTAGTGCTCAAATTAATAAAATCGTGTTGAAACCAAGCAAACTATCAGTCTGCCACCCAGTGGCTAAAACTGGTGACAAGTGTACACACTATGTGTATAGAAAGTGACAAGTGCTTTATAAACTATATAAATAATTATATATACATACCATAAATAAATTAATATTCGTGAATTCATACACAGTGAACAATCACTGAACAAAGTGACAAGTGTTAGGATAAACAATCAAATTATCAGTCCAAAATAAAGTGCAAAAATATGTGCTAACACTCTTCAAAGTGCAAAGTGCTTTATCTTCCTCCACTTTAAAAATGTGCTCAAAAAAGTGGTCACTCTAGTGCTTGTATCCTCCAGTGGCTAGAGTGCCTCCTCACCTCATTCACTCGACCCCTAAGGGCCAGCCAGGATAGCCTGAAGAAGCCACGTGTCCGTGGTGTAACGCGTAGAGCGCAGTGACGTCATTTCCGGGTGGAGCTCGGTGACGCAGTGCCGGTGACAGACTTCCGGTTTTTCGCCATCTTGATTCCTTTAGTACACTCATAACATATGGGAAAACGTGGGTTTTGTACTTGGATCATGTGAGTTGCTTATCTGTTTTTTTATTTGAATAAACTGACATATTACACTATGGAAGTTTTTCTCTGCTTATCCTTCCATGGCCCTGATATATATTGCTGAGCCTGTCCATGCCTAATTCATTTTGAGTGGATATCGGTTTGTGATAGAGGAGGTGGTGTGGAGCCATTGGGACCAGTATTACCAGATGGTAAAGAATATAATTGGTGTGGAACATCATATCAATATATGATTTGTGGCCCTTAGGGGTCGAGTGAATGAGGTGAGGAGGCACTCTAGCCACTGGAGGATACAAGCACTAGAGTGACCACGTTTTTGAGCACATTTTGAAAGTGGAGGAAGATAAAGCACTTTACACTTTAAAGAGTGTGTTAGCACATATTTTTGCACTTTATTTTGGACTGATAATTTGATTGTTTATCCTAACACTTGTCACTTTGTTCAGTGATTGTTCACTGTGTATGAATTCATGAATATTAATTTATTTTATGGTTTGTATATATAATTATTTATATAGTTTATAAAGCATGTGTCACTTTCTATACACATAGGTGTCCGTGTATGAACCAGCGGGTAATAGATCGCTGCTCAGTTCTCCGGCATTCTCGGAGAACACAGTTCTCCTGTGAATGCAGTTTATGAAGCAGTTATCAGAACTAAGGGAGAACGGTCTCCAAACGCTGGAGAACGGTCTACAAACACTGGAAAACGGCTGATTTTACTATAATCTCGCGAGATTACAGTAAAAGATCAGTTTACTAAACAGAGGTAAATTATCTCTGCTTAGTTTTCGGTCCCTCCGATTCTCCAGCTCTGGGCTGGAGAATCTGGAGGGAGAACACAGATCTCCAGAGAAGGGCTGACATGATCTCCTGAGTGTCATAAACTGTGAATGACCAGAGAATAGCTGAGATCTGTTGAATCGCAGCTATTCTCTGTGTCATAAACGGACACCTTAGTGTGTACACTTGTCACCAGTTTTAGCCACTGGGTGGCAGACTGATAGTTTGCTTGGTTTCAACACGATTTTATGCATTTGAGCACTAGTCACGTTTATAAAAAGTTATATATTTTTGCAATTATATTTATTCAGTATTAACATGTTTAGTACCCTCATTGCTGAGCGCTTCATCCATTTTTAGATACCTTTCATAACATCGCAGCACTTCCCCCTCCCTCTCCCCTCCCCACACTGTCCTATCTTATTCACACAATAAGACAGCAAGTCTGGACAAAGGGCGGGACTTTTCAAGTTAAAAAGCAGGTGATTGGTTGCTAGGCAGTGGGGTGGTCCAAGCAGTCATTCACTTGCTCTTTGTTTACTATGTTTCAGTTTTATGAATGTTTTAGGAATGTTCATTCATCTTCAGTGCAGCTGAGGCTGCAGAAAAAGAGAATCTTTGGGGAATCTCTGTCCTCGGTCCCTTTCTCTGTCTCAAAGGGAACCCCTGATATCTCACCAAAGCCCCCCAATAGGGCCGATAAAAAAAAAGAATTGTAATAAATATTAAAAAATTAAATTGTAAAAAAAAGAAATAAAAAAGAAAATAAAAAATTACCGACACCCCCTCCCCCACACCCAAAAAACTTTGTGAAAAAAAAGTCAAAAATAGATTGTAAAAAGTAATAAATGAAAAAAATTGTAAAAAAAAAATTAAAAATTTATAAACTACTGACACTGTTCATTGCGCCACTGACACTGTCTACTGCCCTACTGACACAATCCGCTGCTCCAATCCTCTCCCCCCAAAAAATTGAAAAAAAAAATTTATAAACTACTGACACTGTCCACTGCTCTACTGACACTGTTCATTGCCAATAAGTGAGCTATACAGTGTTACTAGACCCACAACAGTAAAATCATTCTGTATATGCAGTAAAGCATGCTTGGTATACTCCCTGTGGAACCTAAGGGGTTAATCCTCTGCATTGTGTAAAAAGGATGTTTGAGCCTGTCTTCTCTGATCCTTCTCTTCTTTAACTGTCCGCAATCCATCTGCTGATAGAACAGTCACTCTGCACATGCTCAGTGTAATGTGTAGTGCTAGAGAGTTTTTTTGTCTGTGGGAGAATCCATGTGATCAGCACAGGGCTAATCAGCGCTTTCCAGACAGAGGGTCAGAGGTTATACAGCCACATAGGATAATCAGGGGAGAATGAAAACTCCTCCTACAAGCTCTGCTCTGCTGGACACTGATAGAAGTCACAAGACTGCTCTAACAGCTGACGAGAAAAGGTATTTAGCCGTGTATATGTACTAAAATAATTGCAATTCCATGTTCTGTGTACTGTGGGAGAACATATATAGTGAATGCAGGGTCCTGGGTGTAGTAAAACTCAATCTAAGTGATCAAAGTGCTTATTGACTACTAAGTAAGAAGTAAAAGTGAGACAGATAAAGCAAGCTAACTAACTTATCTTTTGTTTTTCTGTTGTTGTTTTTTTTGCAGATCTACAAGATAAGCAGAGATGAGAAATACTCTGGAGAAAATTCACTTACAGGTTGTTTGCTTTCATATGTTTAATCACTTCAATACCGGGAACTTTCACCCCCTTCCTGCACAGGCGCCGTAACGCAAAAAATTAACTGATCAGGAAGGAGGGTAAATCCTCTGGAGGGCAAGTGGTTAATACTCTATTTGTCCTGTTTAACGTTACCATCGAAAGTGAAAGTATAAGAAAATTCCAAAATTTTGAGTTGTCCCCAGAACAATAATAGGTGGAAAACCTTCCAATGCAGATACTTTTTCCAGTGACCATGTTGACAACCAGGGATTCCCTCACTTTGAAGGGATTTCCTGTCACTTCCTGTTCTGGTTATAGGACAGGAATTGAAGGGAAATCTCCCCTATGGAACACATATAGCAAAAAAAACCTCGGTTCCCAGTGCGGTTGCGATTTCCAGTATGGGCAGCGTGCTATTAGAATTAATGTCACCCGCCTGTGGGTCCACATTCTTCTGTGTGGGTGGTTTTTTGTGCGGATCACCACCCCCACATATGTGAACCTAGCCTTACTCTATCCAAAATGAATAAAACATTTTGCCTTTAGTTCTACTTTAAGGAAAGGTGTGTTTTTTTTTTCTTTGTTTTCTCTTTTTCACCTATTTATTCATTGTAATGCTCGCATCTTTGTTTGGGACAGGTCTTATATAAACGCATTGCTGTCTGAACGAAATATTGAAGTCTGCTTTCTTAACACTTTGCAAGAAATTGTATTTTTTCATTGTCTTTCAGAGTCTCATTCCCACTCATTTAGACATAAGAACAGAAGGAAAGAGTCAATAGATGTACGGTCAATCACATCACGGAGTAGTGACGGTAAGGAAAATAAACCTAATTCCATTTCCTCACAAATATACTACTTTCCATATAGAATGATGAAGGATAATGATAAGTTGTGGAGTCAGGTTGTAAAAGCTTGAGCATTGCCCATAGCAAATAGTATGATTCCTTCTATTCCTTACATTTGTCATCAAGAATGAAAACGAATCCTTAGGGCTCATGTACACTGCAGCTGATAAACTTATGTTTAGGAGCTGTTCAGTGTTTTTTTTTCAGCAGCCTCTGAACTCACCCTAATGTTTTCCTATGTGTCCATGTACACATCTTCGTTTACAGTCGTTTTACAGGCATTTGAGTTTACAGTCATTTTTTTTAAAGCAGAAAACTTGCATTCAGCAGTCGATTTTTATCAGTGTTTCAAACGCAAAATGCTTCTAAATGCAGCAAATCACATTTTAAAGCGTTTGAGAATTTTTTTAAAATCTTCCACTTTCCGATGCTGTCCAGAGCCTTTTTTCATAATGAAAAATGCATGCAAAGTGTTTTCAAGGTACTCAAATGGACAAAACACTGAACACAGGATGTTCCTACCAAGCTTGTCACACATTGTAATGACAAATTCACACCTTAGACCTCTCCCACCTTGGAAACAAAAGATATGTTAATGACCATTCACACCTCAAATTCCTCATGAACACCTTCTGCCAGGTGGCCTTAATGACTCCCTCCACCAGACACCTCTCCCACCCTTGGAAACAAAAGAAATGTTAATGAGAAACTCCTAATTATCTCAACACATACTGCAGTCTCTGCTTCTACTCTCTGTATTCCTCTGAAATAGTCTGAAATAGTTAATAATTTACCACTTTTCAGTGCATTCTAGGCATTTGGGAGGTTCTCCTGTGCTTATCTGTAAAAACACTTCTAAATGCAAACACACATAAATGCGTTATGCAAACACAGCTAAACAGACTTTTTTTAACCTACGTTTTCCAGCAGTCAGTTTCCATCGTTCAGAAGTGTCCTGTGTACATGGGGCCTTAAATGGTTAAAAGAGCTGGAGTACAAATGCAGCCCAGGCCAATTCTGACACTTCTGTCATATATGTAAAAATGTGCTAAAAAATTACTTAGAACCCCCAAACATTATATATTTTTTAGCAGAGGCCCTAGAGAATAAAATGGAGGTAATTGCAATTTTGTATGTCTTGTGTTTGTGCAGCAATTTTTCGAACGCACTTTTTTTTGGAAAAGACACATTTTAATGGACTGGGAAAAAAACAAAACAAAAGAACAATATATAACCAAATTTTTAGTAAACTTTGAAAGATGATGTTATGCCGAGTAAATAGATACTCAACATGTAAAATTGCGTGCGCTTGTGGAATGGCACTAAAGTACGGTACTTAAAAATCTCCATAGGCGACGCTTTAACCAGTTTAGAGTTACAGAGGAGGTCTAGTGCTAGAATTATTACTCTCACTAAAACGTTCACAGCAATAGCTTACATGTGTGGTTCGAACATCGTTTACATATGTGGGCGTGACCCTACATATGTATTTGCCACTGCACACGAGCACTGTGGAATGGGAGAGATATACATTTTTTAAATTATTTATTTTATTACATTTTTTTTATTTTTACACTGTCCCTTTACATTCTGTTTATCACTTTTATTGCTTTTGTAAAAAATGTAAACATCTCTTGTGATAACAATACAGCATGACAGGTCCTCTTTATGGAGAGATCGGGGGTCTATAAGACCCCCCATCTCTCCTCTACAATGGAAAGCACTAGATCACAAAAAAAAATTGATCTAGTGCTTTAAAAAAAGACATTGTTTACCTTGGGCCACAACCGGAAGTGATGTTGTGACGTTGCTCCGGTCCTCCTAGATCATAGAGATTAGCTAAGGCCATCTTTCCTAAACTAATCTCTGTGGTCAGCAGCCGCAAAACCGTCGGAATGGTTCCTGGGCTCACCGATCATCCAGGTAAGCCCAAGAACCACCAGAAAGTGGCAGTGGGTGGGTGGGGGGATGACCCCTCATACTGCTTCTAAGAGGTATCCAGCGGCTAATCAGCCACTTGGATCACTTTTAGCAGTTAAAGAATCGCCGGCTGAAATAAACATTATCAGGGTTATGGCATATTTCTGCAGCCATAACCTTGGTATTCCACTTCCAACCGAGTACGTCTTTTGTCTATGGCCTGCTTGGGAAGTGGTTGAAATACGGGATTACAAGAAAACCAAACATACTGTATATGCTCACCTATGTGAGTGCAGCATCGGTCTGATGCTGCAGCTGACCCCTGCCAACTCTAAGACTGAGAAGATCACATGGGCTCTGATCACCCAGTTCTTGGTCTTCAGTGCACAGAGATCCTGTGACTTTCAGTCGCCAGCTCTCTGCTCTTTTCCTCCAGTGCTCTCTGGAGCACTAGGCTGTGCAGGGGGCAGGAGCGGCTGGCTCAGGTTGTCAGCAGCACAGCGAGGGGCAGAACAAGCTGCTGGTCAGGCATCATGTGGATCCCGACATTACTGTCAGGATCCCTGCAGAGTCTGGACCGGCTCTGTGATGTGAGCTGACAGCGCGCTTTAGCCTCTTGTAACCCAGATGAGAAGTATGACCGAAGGAGCTTTGGTCATACTTATCTGTTTTCAGTCTTAGAAGTGGAGGGGCAAAGATACAACATTGGACTGATGCTTCATCCACCTAGGTGAGTATGAATGACACAGAGGACAAGGGGGCACTCTTTATGTCTGGAGGAAAAGAAATCTCCAAACACTGAAAGGTTTCTTCACAGTGAGAGCTGTGAAAATGTGGAATATACTCCCTCAAGAGTTGGTTCTGACCAGCTCAGTGGATTGCTTCAAAAAAGGTCTGGATTGTTTCTTATATACACAGAATATAACTGGATACTAACATTTATAGGTTAAGTTGATCGAGGGAATGTCCGATTGCCTCTCGGGGGATCAGGGAGGAATTGTTGTTTTCCCTGTGGGAGCAAATTGATCATGCTTTGCTGTTTTTTTTTTTTTTGCCTTCCTCTGGATTAACTGTGGGTATAGGATTATAACTTTTTTTTTTTATGGTTGAACTGGATGGACTTTTTTCTTTTTTCAGTCAGACTAACTATGAATGTTTTTTATTTTATATTCCCAAACCTGTCTTTCAACAAACATCACATCCCTGTGTCCTTCAAGCCCAGCAATACACCGAGACAGAAGATTTAAAGCTGTGCCTGCACTGTTGCCCTTGTACTTTTACTTGAAGTCTTTCAATAAAATATTGTGGGAAAAATTTCTTGAAGAACTCTAGAAGCCTCTGTGTTTACTGTCATTGCTATATGGGCATTTCTGATTTTTGCCATTATAAACCATTGGCTTAAAAGAGAACCATTCACAGAGAAATACGCTTCTGGACCTTGCTCACATACTTCAGAAAATGCTATCTGCCTGGCTGTCATGTCAGTCCACTAGATAAAGAACATGGCTTCTGACTTCACTTGTTGCAGATTTTTGGGGGGGTCGTTATTTCATGAAGTAATGAAGCCAGAACTTGCCAGGCAATTAGCATTTTCTGGAAGAGATCAGCAGTGGCAGTCTACGGATTTATTTTACTACAGTTTTTTTTAAAGCAGTAGGTGACATCTAATTTTAAATATTTCTTAGAATGCATTACTGACTTAGCCTTTATAATAACAATTTAATGTTTACTTTACAGCAGCCAGTTTACAGAACCACAGGTATTCATCCATGGCACGGATTCACACCATGACTATAGAGGCTCCCATTACAAAGGTAATGACAAAGGGTGCTGCATGTATACACTTTACCAGTCTACTTTCATTAAAGTGGTAGCACCATTCACTGGTCACATGGGAGGCACTGGGGTTGATTTACTAAAACTGAAGAGCGCAAAATCTGGTGCAGCTGTGCATGGTAGGCAATCAGCTTTTAACTTGCAGAGCTGCACTCTCTAGTTTTATAAATCATCCCCATTGTGTCTTTATTATATAGTACCTTTACTGTGAAAGAGATAACAGGAAATGCCATTGAAGGATATGTAGGGGGCACATCATTCTTTTTTTTTTGCCTATTGCCTCCCCGTGATGCCAGCTCTGCCAACTGTCACTGTCACACTAACACACATAGCCCTCATGAACACTTGACGTTTTTACAGCGGCTGTTTTTGGCTTTTGAATTTTTTTTCTACATCTAGTAAACCCCCCAGCATGTTATCCTATGTGTCCATGCACATGAACACTGTAATCAATGTTTTTTGGCTGAAAAAAAACCCCAGGACTAGTGGGGTTCTAGAGGAGTATTTTAGCTGTAAAAATGCTCTAACGCTGAAAAATGCGGTAAAATGCCACAAACCAAAAAATTCTAAAAAAAAGCTGAAAAACACAGCTAACATTACCAGCGTTATCAAACCGTCCAGTGTGCATAAGGGCTAATACTCAGCATTTGTTTTGAAGAATAGTTATTATCTGCTTCCCGCCACCCCTATAGCACAAATACTGCCAAAGGGCGGCAGGGCTGCACAAAATTATGTATATATACGTGATTTTGCATCTCCGGGTAGGGGGCAAGCGTGCGTGCCACCCTACCTGCACCGCCATTGGCAGCTACAGCTGTCAATCACCGGGTCCCGGCTGGATATTCCCTGCCGGCACCCGGCGATCGCTAAAGAACACTGACAGGGGAGAGGTCTGTATGTAAACAATACAGATCTCTCCCCTGTCAGCTCCAGCATGCTGCTTTGATTTGCTCTGCATAGCAGAGCAATACAAAACAGCATGCTTACACAGTAAAGCACACACAGCACACATAGTAAAACAGCACACAGACAACACAGTAAAACAGCACACAGTTAACCCTTTGATTGCCCCAGATGTTAACCCCTTCATGCCCAGCATCATTAGTACAGTGTCAGTGTTTTTTTTATAGCACTGATCACTGTATTAGTGTCACTGGGGATGTCAGTGTCAGTTAGTGTCAGATTGCCCCCCAGAATCCCGAAGTTCTGCTATAAGTCGCTACTAGTATTAAAAAATTTGTTGTTTTTTTAAATTCCAGTATATATACCGACATTTGTAGACGCTATAACTTTCAAGTAAATCAATTAATCTATATGTATTGGGGTTTTTTTTTTAGCAAAGACATGTCGCAGAATACATTTTGGCCTGAATTTATGACGAAGTTTGATTTTTTAATTTTTTTTGCTGGATATGTTTTACAGTAAAAAGTCAAAAATATTGGGTTTTTTTTTCAAAATTGTCAGTCTTTTTTTGTTTATAGAGCAAAAAATAAAAATCGCACAGGTGATCACCGAAAGAAAGCTGAATTCGTGGGAAAAAAGGGACATCAATTTCATTTGTGTGCAGTGTTGCATGACCGCGCAATTGTCAGTTAAAGTAATGCAGCGCTGTATCGCCAAAAAAATGGTCTGGTCAGGAACGGGTGTAAATCCTCTGGAGGGCAAGTGGTTATAAAAGGCCCTACTTCAAGGATATGCATAATGCAGTAGGGTGCAAAGATACCTCATGAGAGACAGCTATATGGATAAACACATTGGTATTGGCATAAGAAAGAAGCTATGGATCTATCCTGCTCGAATGTGCTATACACTGAAAAAAAAGATAATTGATTTACTTTTGTCTCTTAAGGTCATTAACATAATAAATGCAGCTCAGGAGAACAGTCCTGTAACAGTGGCCGAGGCCTTGGACAGAGTGCTAGAAATTCTGAGGACCACAGAGCTCTATTCTCCACAGCTGGCAACCAAAGAAGAGGATCCCCACACAAGTGACCTTGTTGGTGGTCTGATGACAGTAAGCAATGATAAAATGATAGCAAGGAACATTCCCTGGGCTTTATGTTCACTAATCATTGTATGTTTAGGTACCTGAGCTGTCACAAATGCAAAACAATCAATATGATGTCACCTGCTCAGAACAAATGCACCAGAGCCATTCAGCATCCAACATCCCTTTCTATGTAGTGGAACAAATCCTTTATTATCTTTAGCAAACAAGGAAAATCACCATGCTTTAAAGTGTTTCTAAAGCTAAACTTTTTTTTATTTACTTTGGAGTATGAAAGGGTTAAAGCTGCCATCAGTTTTTTTTGGGGGGCTTACTGTATCTATTTTGGGAGATTTCCCTTTACACACAAGCACAGGGAGAACATGTAAATGCCATACAGATAGTGTTCTTAAAGCGGAATTCAGCACCTTTGTAAAAAGTGAAGTTAAAGTGTTACTAAACCCCGGACCCTGCATTCACTATATCTGGTCTCCCACAGTACACACAACATGGAAATGCAACTATTTTAGTAAATATAAACTGCTAAATACCTTTTCTCATCAGCAGTTAGAGCAGTCTTGTGACTTCTATCAGTGTTCAGCAGAGCTTGTAGGAGGAGTTTTCTTTCTGCTCTAGGAGGATGCAGACCCCCTGACCTCTGTCTGAACAGTGCTGATCACATGCACCCTCACAAGGAAAAAAAAACCTCTCTAGCAATACCCATCAAACTGAGCATGTGCAGAGTGACTTCACATGATATGTCTTATCAGGAAATAAGAGGGGGACACTGAAAGAAGGGAAGGATCAGAGCAGTCAGGATCAAACAGCCTTTTTACACAATGCAGTGGAGTAACCCCTTAGGTTCCACAGTGAGTATAACAAGTACGCTTTACTGCATATACAGACTGATTTTACTGTTGTGGGTTTAGTAACACTTTAAGTCCAACGAGATGCATGACATCTCCTGGACTTATCTCTATTATTTACATCTGACAGTTGTATTTCACTCCTGGAAGACAGCTATTGTTGTTTGTACTGGGAGTCCAACTTAGATCCTTCTGATCTCTGCATCTTCAACAGTAGAGTCACTATAGCTGCTATGTCCACTCATTCATAAAATACAAAGGCTTCTGTGAATGAGCAGCAGAGGGGAGTTGGTCATAGCTGTTCTTTGTGCCTATATCTCCTCTCTCACAGCCTCAAGTGTCTCAGTGTACGCTCAAGCAGAGCCAGATATAAATACCAGAGATAACTCCAGGAGGTGGCATTCATCGTGTTGGACTTAACTCGTAGTGTGCCTTCACTTTTTGCACAGTGGCAGAATTCCTGGAATTCAGCTTTAAATAAGTATAGTTCTCCTTTAGTTTAGGTTCACATGTATGCAGGTATGGGACTGCATGTAAATCCTGCGCTGTCCCACACCGGCGCTGCTGTTAGCAGACACACTGGGGATGTCATTCATTTTTAACAGCACCCCCACGCAATGAAAATTGCAATGTTATTCCCTGCTGGGAAATACATAGCACTATGCAGTTTCCCTGTGGCTGCAATTTTAAAACCTTGTCCTGCGCTTCTCGCAGGTACAACAGCCCATTCAAATGAAAGGGCTGCTCTGCCTGTGCGAATGCAGCCGCAGGGACATTGGAATAGTGTGAACCTAGCCTTAAGCACAAAAGTCCCTTCTTTGGATTCCCAAAGAGAAGTAAGATACAGTGACCACTCTTTGTATAAAATGTTTCCGCACATTGAAGCCTTTATGATCCTCTTTATTTTCTGAGAGGTGAACGTGGAGTTTACTAGCTGAATTTGGTAGGAGCTTTCAGTTTTCAGCTACTAATGTCACTAAGCCCCTATTCACACTTAGCATGAGGATAGCCAGTCAATTTAGAAGAGTTTGTACACTTAACTTGCATTACAGGAATAGAACTGTGTGTTTTTACTCCCATAAACATTTCAATGGGGACACCTGAAAAACGAGTGTAAACATGTGTTTTTTATGCACTCCTATTAAATTAATTGGCAAAACACATGATTCTGCCCTAAAGAAGCACTAGTACTTTTTGATCTTCACGCAACAGGCAACAACGGCACAGTGCTCAGTGGACCCATTGAGAATGATGGGATTTGCATGATAGAACACTCCAGTTTGATTAAGGACTCGGCACTTTGTTCACCCCTTGATCAGACTCCTGCTGTAAATGTTCTTCTCTGCCATTAATGACCCAAAACACATTCTCACAGATATGGGACTTTTGAGGTGCCAAGTAGTACATGAAAATCCAATTATTTGTTGTAAAATCATTAAAACATAACTAATTTCGGCTTTAGAATTCTAGTTCCACAGCCATTTATTGCATATATATATATATATATATATATATATATATATATATATATATATATATATATATCTTTACATCTCTTCCACAGTAAAATCATTATTTATTCCTCTCCATTCAACATGACTTGCCTTCGAGATAGAACTTGGAGAACAATTGGGGAAAGTAATACATTGAATTAGGATGCATTTTGTGGGTGGCTACCCCCACTTCTTTAGGTTCTGTGAAACTATAGATAACAGTCAGAGTACACATCAACCAATGTTATAAATGCATACTTAAAACATTTTTAATTATTTCTGAATCCCCTACGTTATGAGTTACATAGTTAGTCTGGCTGAAAGAAGACAGAAGTCCATCCAGTTCAACCATAGAAAAATAAAAACGTTATAATCCTATACCCACAGTTGATCTAGAGGAAGGCAAAAAAACCCATCAAAGCATGATCCAATTTGCTCTTGCAGGTTAAAAAATTCCTTCCTGATCCCCCGAGAGGCAATCGGATATTCCCTGGATCAACTTTACCTATAAATGTTAGTATCCCGTTATATTCTGTATATCTAGGAAAGAATCCAGGCCTTTTTTAAAGCAATCCACTGAGCTGGCCAGAACCTACTCTTGAGGGAGTCTATTCCACATTTTCACAGCTCTCTCTGTGAAGAAATCTTTCTGTATTTGGAGATTACATTTCTTTTCCTCTAGACATAAAGAGTGCCCCCTTGTCCTCTGTGATGACCTCAGGGTGAATAGCTCTACACCGAGTTCACTATATGATCCACTGATGTATTTATACATGTTGATCTTATCCCCCCCTTAATCTCCTCTTCTCAAGAGAGAATAAATTCAGTTCCTCTAATCTTTCCTCATAGCTGAGCTCCTCCATGTTTATCCAAGACTGGAATCATGGGCCTGGGTACCAAACCTTGGTGTGGATGGTGGTCCCCAGGCCCATGCACCCACACCCGCAAGGATGTCATATCTGACTCAACGGCTGTGTCCTAATAGACAGCTTTGGGACTCCCAGCACGAGGATGCACATGACCTGTACATCCCCATGCCGATATACTTTGCCCTGCATGGGGCATGGATTAAATCACCCCATGCGAATGATGCTTGAGTTAGCTATATAACCATATAGATCCTTTATGAGCAAATAGACATGTTTTTTTTTTTTCATTTGTTGCAGGATGGTTTGAGAAGACTTTCAGGAAATGAATATGTTTTCTCAAAAAGTAAGTTTTATCCACATTTTGTATTTTGAAATGACTGCAGTACCTGAGGCAAAATTTCTATCAGTGTGTAGCCGCCCTACACACTGATCAATCATTTGATTACATTCTGTTGAAGGAACATGTTGGTAACTTTTCCATGGTGCTTGCAGCCAATCACCTGCAGCCGCTTATCAATGTTATCAGACTGCTGAAACCTTTTAGCAGCTGAGAATAGGTTTCATTAACAAAAAATGGACTGCATGCTGTACATTCTGTGCATTTTTAGTTTGCTAAAAGCACTGGGTATCCTAATACATTGGTTTTTTTTATAAAATACTTGTTTTCAAAATTTTATATCATTTGTTGAATCTCAGTACTGCTGATCACGTGCATCCTGGCCAATTCCTGTCTACAAGCACTACAGTGGAGGGTGCATGGTATATGTGCTTTCCTCTTGAAGACAACAGTGTGCCATGCCTTTGTGTTGTTTGTGTGTTGAAATGACCAGGGGCGGACTGACCATTTGGAAACTAGGGCAGTGCCCAAGGGCCCGGGGTCAGTAGGGGGCCCCCTGAGATGCCCCTGGTACCTTTTTCATAGGCTTTTTTGAGTTTGGGCAAGGGCACAGGGGCCCCATGATCCCCTATTGCCCGGGGGCCCCATGAGTTGTCAGTCCGCCCCTGGAAATGACAATTTGTAATCTTTATCAGATGCCTAATATTAGAGGGTGACAATTCCGGGGCACATTTGAGATGCAGGGACAGAGCATTGTCACACCATAAAGGGAAGTGCCTGAACAAAAGAAATTTATGGCAGGATCGCCAGGCATTATTTTACTGAAAGATGCAGTTTTAAAGCTCAACCCTGGGCACAAGAATAAATACCCTTATATCAGGGCTTCAGCTATCCTGTAAAAATACAGGTTAGCGAGCGTTAGTGATCAGCACTGCTGTAACTTATTGATTCAAGGAAATGAGAGTCAAATTTAATAAACTAATTAAACTCAAATCCTGATTGGTAGCTAAGGGCTACAACGCTTCTTGACCTTTCACATGAATGTGAAAAACTGACAGATGGATCCAGACTGAACCACAATATATGTCTGTGAACAGGTGAATAGAAACGGACGCCTGTTCACATTTTCTTACAGTTGAGTCCATTTATGTCTGCTGAAAAAAAATGGCAAAATATACGTCCTTTGACATTTTTGTGGACATGAACACATGTTTTTTACTTCTGTTTTGCTGATGTCTGTTCTGTTTACATCCATTAACATATTTTTAGGTTATATCTTAGCCTACCTATAAGTCCTCATGCACACTGGGCGTTTTTACAGCGGCTATTTTTGGCTTTTGATTTTTTTTCTACAGCCAGTAAACCACCCAGCATGTTATCCTATGTGTCCATGTACACATAGACTGTAATCAACGTTTTTTGGCTGGAAAAAACCCAGGACTAGTGGGTTTCTAGAGGAGTTTTTTAGCTGTTAAAACGCTCTAACGCTGACAAACGTGGTAAAACGCCGTAAAACACAGTAAATCGTGGCAAACCGGTATTTTTGGATCTTTTTTTCTACACTAAAAAAAAAATTTTTTTTGGTTAAAAAAAACGCTAAAAAATGCAAATGCGAAAAACGCAGCTAAACGCTAAAAACGCTGAAAAACTGTTTTTAACGTGACTTTACCAGCGTTATTAAAACGCCCCGTACGCATGGAGCCTAATTATTGTTTTCAATAATATGAATGTTTACATGAATATGTAAAAAACAGATGTATACTGATAACATGTAAACTGAAATGAAGACAGAAGTAAAAACTGACATACTGATGTAATATTATTATTATTATTATACAGTATTTATATAGCGCCAAAGGATATGCTCAGCGCTGTACAGTAGCAAGGGGGACAGAACATGAGACAAGACAGTAACAATACAATACACGAGGGGTTTGAGGGCCTGCTCTTTCGAGCTTACAATCTAGGAGGGAGGGGAAGGTGATACAGGAGGAAATGGCTGTGGGGGATGGAGTGGTGGGAGGAGTGGAGGAGGTTAGTTGTTAGGTGAGGTCAGGTGTTAGGTGAGGTTGGGGTAGGCTTCCCTGAAGAGGAGGGTTTTCAGGGTGCGCCTGAAGGTGAGGAGGGTAGGTGGCAGTCTGATGGATTGGGGTAGGGAGTTCCAGAGGATGGGGAAGAGAAGTCCTGGAGAAGTCCTTCAATCGGGCGTGGGAGGAGGAGACCAGGGAGCTAGAGAGTAGGAGGTCCTGTGAGGAGCGGAGGGCACGGGTAGGGTAGTATTTGGGTATCAGGTCAGTTATGTAGTTCGGGGGGGCGGCGTTGTGAATGGCTTTGTAGGTCAGAGTTAAACAGTTTGAATTTGATGCGTTGGGCAATCGGAAGCCAATGAGGGGATTGGCAGAGGGGGGAGGCAGATGTGAAGCGGTTGGTGAGGTGGATGAGTCTAGCCGCTGAGTTTAGGATCGACTGGAGTGGGGATAGCGTTCGTTTGGGTAGGCCAGTGAGAAGGGAATAATAGGTTTCAGTTTTCATGCATATAGGTAATCTGTTTTCATGACTGAACTGATGACACTTGTGTGAAAGGACCCTAAAGGTGGCAATACACGATTAGAAAATCGACTGATCGGTCATCCGACGACCGAGAGGCATTGGTTCATTGGTCGAAATTGTGGCCCACATTAACCAATCTAAAAAAATCATCCGTCGGGCAATACGTAGTGTTGACGTCTTCCGTACAAGTGGAAGTGATGCGGTGTGCGTGTGACCTTGTAGCCACGCCCTTCCTGCCACAACGAGTGATATACACAACAATTACCAGCAATGAGTATAATATAGTTTATTACATATCTATATACATAAATAGTGATACATAAAATATAATCTGCAGAATTCTGGTTTCATTATCGCATTAGAACAGCAATGGGCAAACTACAGCCCGCGGGCCGTATACGGCCCGGCGGACCTTTTAATCCGGCCCGTGGAGCGTGATACTGTCAGGATGGCTGTCAGGATGTGTGTAGGCGGGGCAGCGTGACGAACGTGAGGGGAGCTAGGCTCCTCTCACAGTCCGCCCTGAAGACCGGAACTGTGCGGGAACACGGCGAGAGGAACGCGCGGAGCAAAGGTAAGTAAATTGACACAGGGGGGTCTTGGCTTACTACTTGGGGGGGAATAGTACTATGAGGGATGAAATACTATATGAGGGATGAATTAATATGGGGGATGAATTAATATGGGGAATGAATTACTATAGGGGGGATGAATTACTATAGGGGGGATGGGGGGAAGAATTACTATGGGGGATGAATTACTATATGGGGATTAATTACTATGGGGGATGAATTACTATGGGGGATGAATTACTATATGGGGGATGAATTACTATGGGGGATGAATTACTATGGGGGATGAATTACTATATGGGGGATGAATTACTATGGGGATGAATTACTATATGGGGATGAATTACTATGGGGGATGAATTACTATATGGGGGATTAATTACTATGGGGGATGAATTACTATGGGGGATGAATTACTATATGGGGGATGAATTACTATGGGGGATGAATTACTATATGGGGGATGAATTACTATATGGGGGATGAATTACTATGGGGGATGAATTACTATATGGGGGATGAATTACTATAGGGGGATGAATTACTATATGGGGGAATTAATATGGAGGACTATATGGGGGATGAATTACTATATGGGGGATGAATTACTATATGGGGGGTTAATTACTATGGGGGATGAATTATTATGGGGGATGCATTACTATGGGGGATGAATTACTATATGGGGGATTAATTACTATGCTTACTATGGGGGAATATTACTATACTTACTATGGATGACACATACACATCATTCATCTACTCTTGGTCCGGCCCCCGGGTCCAATATATGAACCCATTGCGGCCCTCAAGTCAAAAAGTTTGCCCACCCCTGCATTAGACCAATCTACTTTTAACATTTGGATTTTTTGTTCGTGTTTACGAAGATTCCTTGGACATAAACATCCAGGTCTTCTGTTACCGCTCATGTGTGATAGCGCTTGATAGATTTTTTTTTTTCATATGACTGTTATACCACCGCATAGAAAATCGGTCGTTTGTATGTGAAACAACAAAATCTTTCACTGTTGTTCAACCGGATTTTTTCGTTCACAATATCGTTATCGGTTAAAACATCCTGCTCATCAACGAAGAGAAAATCGTTCAATCAGTGGTTCCGTGACATTTTTCGTACGATTTTCTTATCGTGTGTATGGGGCATTAGTTCTTCTTTTTCCTTCTTCAGTTTTTATTAATGCCCCCCCCTCCCCCCTTGCACTGGCTATACATAGAGCATGTTTGGCCAGTTGTGCTTGCAGATAGAAATGGTTTGTGGAAATTCATAGAAATGAGGTATGATGGATATCTATGCGTTGCGTTAACTTGCACATTCATGTAACGCACGGTAACACATGACGCATTGTGATACCATTCATTTTAAACAGCATTCCAACACACTGAGGCAGCACACGTGCTGCAATGCTCTGCAACACATGCCAACCACCACTGTAATTTCAATGGGTTGCCTTAATACAGTGCATGATAATGTATGACATGACACGCTTTAACACATGTACATTAACGCACACATCCACACAAATGTAAATGAGCCCTCAGAGATCACCCTTCTTTATTCCACCCATTATAACATGACATGTGATCTTTAATCACCGTGGTTGAATGGATTCCTGGAGAGTAATGCTATCTGCACTTCTTACACAAGACCATATGTGGTTTCTGTCATATCTATCTATAATCACCCAGCATACATAATTCATTCCTAACAATGAATTACTAATTATTACAGATATGCAGCACAGCCATAGTCACCTATCAGTGCCAATTACAATCAATGATGTGCCACCTCGTATAGCGCAGTTACTCGACAACGAAGATTCCTGGGACTTTAACATATTCGAACTAGAAGGTGTTACAAATAAAAGGTAAGTGCAGGGGTCAGTATCGAAAAAAAAAAAAGAAGGTGTGTTGGGGAGCAGAGATTCACTGCCATTTAAAACTGAACTTCAGGAAAACCACTAAATACACAGATGTAATACAAATCTGGAGTTGTTTTACATGCAAAAGGATTTGTATTTCTGTCCATTCAGTCCTGAGATTTACACAGCTCTGCCACACAGCACAGTCCTGTCTGAGTGGGCAGTTAAGTAGAACTTATAGGTCTTGTCCCTCCCCAAGCCTGCAACTGGATAGTAAAAGGGGAAGAAGCAGACTGATCTCTTGGTCACTTTGCTCTCCCCTCCAATCAGCAAGATCTTTGTTCACACATACGCACTGCATCACAATTGACTGTTTCCTTGTGTAGCTTCTCCCTTTCCATATCTGAGCTCTGTTTTAGGCTAGGTTCACATCAATGCAGTTTGCATTTGATCCATTTCTGCAGTGCATTTTGCGGTGCGTTTTGCATTTATTCTCATGGCACATGGCACAGGTACACTGCTTTGCGGTCAAACCACAGTGCAACAGGGTGAAATGGCTCTAAAAATATTTTTAAATTATTGATACCCCCTGCTGATACCACCAACTGTGGAAGGGAGTTCCACATCCTTACCACTCTAACAGTTACATAGTTAGTCTGGCTGAAAAAAGACAAAAGTCCATCCATTTCAACCATTAAAAAAAAAAAGTTATAATCCTACACCCACAGTTGATAAAGTAAAGTAATGTTATGAGCTTTGACATTCTCTTGATAAAATCTAAAGACTCTAAGGCCCCTTTCACATGGGTGATCCGATCAGGTCTGCCTGTCAGTTTTTTAAGCAGACCTGATCAGAGGGTCCATGCAGCCCTATAGACAGGCGAGTGTAAATGGACTTGTATCTGTTTACACCCCCTGCCTCCGGGTCTGATTAGGTCCTGGGAATCTGTCCTTTCTATTTAGGCGGATTGGATCGGAGGGTAGTCTGTTTACTCCTGATTGCCCATAGAGCAGAGCGGGTTCTGTCCATGTCCTCTCTGCAAAATCTGGGTGGACACGGATGTGTCGTCCACTCACTCTGCTCCAATCAGCAGTTGATCTATGAGTGAATCCCAGCTGATCGGGATGGAGCCCACCCCATGTGAAGGGGGCTTATTGGTTGTTTTTATATGTATATCAAACCCTCATAGTAAAACACAACACCTCCTATAAATTGGATGGCTTTGGAAAGAAAGGAAATATTAAATTATATTCAGGTTTGAAAAATTGTAATACTTAGCCTGTATGTTTAATCACATTTGTATTTGTCTCTTGCAGGCCGTTAGTTTACCTTGGACTTAAAATATTTGCCTGCTTTGGAGTATGTGAATTTCTCAGTTGTTCGGAAACTACTCTCCGTGCTTGGCTGCAAGTGATTGAAGCCAACTACCATGCGTCTAATTCTTACCACAACTCTACGCATGCTGCTGATGTCCTGCATGCCACGGCCTTCTTTTTACAAAAGGAGAATGTAAAGGTATGTTCATTTGCAGCATCAAATGCAGATATATCAAAGAGAATCAGAATTCTGCAAGCTGTGCTCAAAAAAGAGGCAGGCGGAGGGCAAAGGACTAGTCACCATTGGTGGCCCTGCAGCTGATCTTTCCCTCATTACCAACCGATTCTGCCTTGTTCTGCACTGCATCTCTGTGGAGGAAACCATCATGGTAGAGGCAGGGCTTTGCTTTTTTTATGTCGGAGCCTCCAGCAAGAAGAACAGTGGGCAGCACAGTAATGACATCACCAAATCTTACTGCACATTTCTTTGGACTAGCAATCAGAGGCAACAGTGTCTAAGGGCTCATGTGCACTGCAGCTGATAAACGCACGTTTAGGAGCTGTTCAGTGTTTTTTCAGCAGCCCCTGAACTCTCCCTAATGTTTTCCTATGTGTCCATCTTCGTTTACAGGCATTTTTTACAATCGTTTTTTTGAACGCAGAAAACTTGCGTTCAGCAGTCGATTTTATCAGTGTTTCAAACGCAAAATGCTTGTAAACGCGGCAAATCATGTTTATAAGCGTTTGCAAATTTGTTTTAACTCTTCCAGTTCCCGATGCTGTCCAGAGCCTTTTTTCATCATGAAAAATGCATGTAAAGCATTTTCCCGGTACTCAAATGGACCTGGTACACCATACTTTGATATTTCGCATGAAATAAAATAATTTCAGCACATAAATGAGCTGGAACACATCCAAACACCACAAAAAAAAGACAGCTAATCTCGACAAATACTGCTCTCTCTGCTTCTGCTTTCTCTATTTCTCTCAAAATGTCTGAAATAGTTAATTAGTTACTGTTTTTCAGTGCTTTCTGGGCATTTTGGAAGGTCTCCTGAGGTTATCTTAAAAAAAACGCTTCTAAGCGCAAACGCTCATAAACGCAGTATGCAAACGTGGCTAAACAGACTTTTTTCATTTACATTTTCCAGCAGTCAGTTTCCATCGTTCAGAAGTGTCCCGTGTACATGGAGCCTTAGATCTCACACTGCAGATGTGCAGCTATGAGGCTGTAAGCACAAGATTTCCTAGGCACAGTCACATACCTGAGAGCACACTGCTATTTTTCTGTAGGATTTGCAGACAAAAGGTCTATTTCTCAGGGCACATCTTCACATTTTGAGTTCAGGTCCATGCGTATGTATAGTATATAATAATAGATGTGATAAGCCAAATAACCACAAATAATAGCGCAACCATAAAACCAAATTAATAAATAAATAAATAAATAAATTGATATATCCACCACCATATATGTGCAATAAATTAGTGCAAAATCACATATAGGAAGTCCGCATATAGTCCATTCAGAAAAGTCCATATATTAATGATCCTCAATAAATGAAGTAATGAGATCCTCCTTCACCAATGTGATATCCAGGACACAGAACACCCCCTCAAATTGCACACTCACCATACACTGGTGATAAACCAGCGTATCAGTAAATATCCAGCAATCCACCATTTAAGCTCCAGCTTAGAGAAATCCTCACATATCCAATTTGTACATGTGAATAAAAAGAATACTCGCCATAGTGCAATATCATCCAGCAAATTTATTGAAGTAACAAACCCCCCATAAAAACCGCACTCACAATGAGTATATAAATGTACAGCGTTTGTTAATAGTCAGAGCTTCAAGCGCTGTCTCCAGCGTCTCACCAGCCTGCCTGCACTCAAGATGGCGATGGTGCAATCACGTGGTCCGGACACGTGGTGACGTCACCGGCTAGCCACACCCTAACGTGTTTCGTCAGAAGGAGTATGTATAGTACAGCCATTCTTTTTTTTTTTGGGATATGTCACAGAAGATTTTAAATCCTTCTCAGATTTTTTTATTTTGCTGGGTCCCATCCGGGATTTCCTGTCCGGGAGATGCAATAGGAAACAAGGAAATTTCTACAAAATTAGGGCAATTTATTTTTTAGACAGCAGTTACCTGAACAGTTCTCCACATTGGATGTTTTTTCTTCACCTGTTACAGTTCTAAAATTGTGAATTACCTATAATTTCCCAGTGGACACCAGGGCAAATAGGATGGAATCTCCCCAGTGGGCAAAAAAAAAAAAAAAATTGGGCTATATATCTGCTTACTTTCATTGTCATATTGAAAGACTTTCTGAAATATATTATCTTTACTAGGTCCACGTAGGATTTATCACTCTGGGCATCTGAAATAAGAGGTCATTCCTAAAGATGTATACAAATTTAGGAAATCCCATAAAATATTTGGATTATAGTGTCGATTTCACAGCTTTACCCTAACCTTCCATTAAGTTTCCCTTTCCACTGCTAAGTAAAAGATATACAGTTTATAGATAGCTCAGAATTACTTATATGATTAGCTCACATTTATCATTCACATTTTTAGAAAAAATCCATATGCATTACAGCTTTGTCTGTCCAATTAAATGCTGCCCTCTGTTTAAAAAAAAACAATTATTACTTTTGACACTTTTTTTATTGTGGACTCCATCCTGCCTGTATGACTGTTGGATGTGCGGTCTCAACACCTCACGAAAAAGCCCTGGGCTATATAGAGATTCAGCATGCCTAACCGCGCAATCCGCAGTCTATCGCTTCAGCGGCTAAGCTCAGTGTCCTGTGAGAGAGTGACTACACTACATGTGTGGTTAGGCAAGCTACGTTCTAGTAGTAGATTCCTCCTCCGTAAGGTGTTGGGGCAGGAGAGGAGAAGCAGCATAATAGAAGAAGTGGCATCAAAAGTACAAATAATTTCTAAAAATGAGTGACAGCATTTGAATGTATAGCAGAGCTATAATACATAGGGATTTTCTTTTTGAAAAGTCATTAAGAGTGAACTAACTCTTTAATTCCTTGCAATTCTTAACTTATATTGGCAGTAATGGGGCCATAACTGTGACATTTGATACATAGTTGACAGATCAATGATCACATTGCAAGGATTCCAAAAGAAAGTTATGATGAAATCTGTAAGCACTCTATGCTTCTAATTACTAAGTGGTGTATAAAGGTTTTGGGTGAGATTCCCTTCACACCTTTGTGGTGCATTACCACACACACATCAACACTGGTGTTAATGTACATTGCACTAAGGCCCCATTTATATCTTCGCCTTTGGGATTGCGAGGCAAACCGCACAGAAAATGCATGATTTGTTGCGTGTTTCAGAAACGTGGCGCAAATGTGCATCGCGCTTGTGTTGCTATTAGATGTTAATAGGACTCCAAATGCGGGTAACAGGCGCATTTGCCACGTGACAAATGCTCTGCAAATGCACCAAAAACACAGCAAAAAGCCACGTCAGACTCCACTCTAAAAAAAGTACAGGAGCTTCTTTGGGGTGTTTGTAACACGTAAGGCAGCCCATTCAAGTGAATAGGCTGCCCTATGCATGGTACATGTTAATGGTTATAAACGCGTGCAAAAAACTCACGTTTCCACTATGCGTTTAATGCGTAAAATGCATCAAAAATGCAAAACAAAAAAAAACACTCGAGTTCATGCTATGCACAGATGTGAGTTCAGCCTAAGGCAGCCCATCCATTATGAATGGGCTGCCAATGCACTTCATCACACATCACAACAAAAAAAAACAGTCATGACCCTTTCTTGGCAATGCAGCAAACCACAAAATGACTGGATTTTCTGGTTGGATGCAGTGCAGGTCTGTTGTCTCAGTGTGTTAGATTGCTGTCCAGAATGAATGTGTTAAGGTTGATGGATGTTCTTGTCAATGCTGCATTTTCCATTCGAATGCATTGAACATTTAACAAGAAAATGCGCATTTGACCTGCTTTGCCTGCAATTCAGTTGCACCTCAGTAGGACCTGCTGCTTTCTAACAAATGCAGCACAAAGAAATTAAACACAGCTGCTGAACTGCCATGTGTATTGTTTCTTTAACCATTAGCCGCCCGGCCTATAGCCGTTTGGCGGCCGCAAAAATGCTCTAGCTGTCCGGGGTGTACACCATTTGGCGTCCTTCCGCACATGCGCAGTTCGTGCTGTTGCAGAGCCGCGCAGCGGCGCGATCTGTCACCGGCCGTGTACCTCGGACACGGCTGATGACAGATCTGAGTACCGGCCCCCGTTGCCGGTACCATGTGACCTGCTGTGACCAATCAAAGCAGGTCACATGACAGTTGTATACAATGGATGGCTTCATTCATGCCATCCATTGTATACTAGTGTCTAGCTGTGAATGGTCACAGCTAATCACATGCACATGTCATGAGATTAGCTGTGGCCAAATCACAGCTAAGCACAAAAAAAAAAAAAAAAAAAAAAACTGAATGAATCGATGTCATTCAGGTAAATGCTTGCTTATAGCAAAGTAATTTTTTGCTATAAGCAAATTGTGTAAAAAAGAAAAAAAAAATTACTGATCACTTCCCCAAAGTAGTACAATGTACTTTGGTCATAGTAAAATATGAAAAAAAATCTTAAAAAAAATGTAATAAAAAAAAAAAAAAAAATAAAAAAAAAAAAAAATATATATATATTTTTTTTTTTTTTTTCATACGGTCACCAGTCAGTGTCCCTGATCACCGCCATGCCAGTTATATTATGACGCTGTACTGCACTGGTGACAGTATGTAAAAAAAAAAATACTTTTTTTAATTTTTTCATTTTCCGAAAAATTATGACAAAAAAAATACAACTTCAAAAAACTCGCCATGCCTCTTATGAAGTACGTCGGACTGTCTGCTTTGCAAAAAGGGGTCATTTGGGGGATATCTGTACTATTCTGGCATTCTTGGACCTCAAGAAATTAGATTGGCTGCCAGTACTTCAGGATTGATCAATATTCAGATATATCCCATAGTTTGTGAACTCTATAACTTTCCTACAAACTAAATAATACATCCTAATTTGGGTTATTTTCACCAAAGACATGTAGTAGAATACATCTTGGCCTAAATTTATGAAGAAAAATTATTTCTTTGTAAACTTTTATGACAGAAACAAAGAAAAACGTGTTTTTTTTTTTCAAAATTTTTGGTCTTTTGTTTGTTATTTTAGCAAAAAATAAAAACCCCAGCGGTGATTAAATACCACCAAAAGAAAGCTCTAGTTGTGTGAAGAAAATGATAAAATTTTAGTTTGGTACAATGTTGTATGACCGCGCTGAAACGTGAAAAATGGCCTGGGCAGGAAGGTGTAAAATTGCCCAGTATTGAAATGGTTAAAGTCAATGGATTTTGCTGACTTGCATGTGACATGCGTTTCATAGGCATGTCAAATGCAGAAAAATTCCAGTGGACACGAGCCCTTATGTATGCATGCACTATGCACTACATCAATACAAAGGTGTAACGCTGGTCTATATATCTGCTTGTAAAAACCCAGATGAGTTTTCTGTAGCTATTGCTGAAAATTCACTTGTTAATAATCAGTTGTTAGTAATGTGTGAAAGAACCTATAAATGTGGATTGATGATGGGGAGTGTATGTTACATCTGTTGTATTGTGCTAAATTGATGACCACTACAGTTGTTTTTGTAGGCCAGCCTTGACCAGCTGGATAAGGTAGCCGCTCTGATAGCTGCTACGGTACATGATATTGATCACCCCGGACGCACCAACTCTTTCCTCTGCAACGCCGGCAGTGAATTAGCCCTGCTTTACAATGACACGGCCGTCTTAGAAAGTCACCACTCCGCGCTGGCTTTTCAACTCACTGCAAAGGACAACAAATGCAATATTTTCAAGAACATGGACAGGTACATCGATAGCACGTGTTTATCACTTTAATGCGTTACTTTATTTCAGATTTTCAGTGACAATCCAGATTGAAGGTAAGAGATAACATTACATATTGGGGGAGATTTACAAAAAACTGGTGCACACTGAGGTGTGCTTTTATGAAACAGAGATCAGTGGCGATCCTGAGGATCGTTGCTGATCTCCGATCATTAGTGGTTTAGGAAACAGAGATGATCAGTAGAGAACATGTTCTCCGCTGATCATCTCAGCATACAGATGGCCAGTATATGAAGGAGCAATGTCAGCCCTTCACTGGCGATCTGTGTTCTCCCTCCAGATTCTCCAGCTCAGAGCTGGAGAATTGGAGGAATCGCAAACGAAGCAGCGGTAATTTACTGCTGCTTAGTAAACAGTTTTTGACTGATCTCTTACTGTAATCTCGCGAGTTGTTAGTAACAGCAGATGTTTTCCAGCGTTCAATGCATTTGTAAATCACTTCTCCCTTCATTCGGAGAAGTGATCTACACCGCTTCACAAAAAGGCATTCAGAGGAGAACTCTCTCCTCTGAGAATGCCGGAGAACTGAGCAGCGGTCATTTAACATTGCATGATAAAGGACACCATAATCTAGTACAGCTGTGCATAGTAACCAATCAGCTTCTACGTTTTATTATCAAAGTTTAATTGAACAAGATGAAGTTAGAAGCTGATTGGCTACCATGCACAGCTGCCTTAGATTCTGAGTGCACAAGTTTTAGTAAATCTCCCCCATTGGTTGACCCTACTGTGAGAGACCAAATAGAGTTCCATCATCATGAAAGATGAGTTCAATCCCCTTGTCTGTTAGAGGAAGATGGGGTGCGCAGAATCCTGTGCCAAGACACATGTCACTCATTACTATTATTATACTGAAGTTATAAAGCGCCAAAAGTTTGCACAGCACTTTACAGTAGAAAAGGAGACAGTACAGTTACAATATAATTCAAGTTAGGAGGGCCCTGCTCATGAGAGCTTACAATCTAAATGGGAGGGGTAAATTATACAAAAGGTAATAACTGTGTGGGATGAGCTGATGGAGAAAGCAAAAAAAAAGTGAATTTAGGTAGAGGTGGGTTAAGTTCATAGGTATAAGCTTGCTGCATATATCTTAGCATTGAGATTTTGGAAAATGAGTAAAGTTTCTGAACTTAGCACTATTGTAATGTTTCCCCTCAGCATTGATGCAAGCAATGGGCTGGCTGTTTGGTGGTATTATGCAAATATCAAAATGCCTTGATGGGTGGATATCAGTGCAGAAGAGCAGGCTGTGTTTGCATGCAGACCAGCCTAGTTAACTCTCACAAGTGCTGTTGAGCCTCCATGATTGAAAAATACTGAAATCCAGCATATGGAAGGGGCCAGAAAGGGAAAGTAAGCTGTCTAGAGTGGAAAAGACTGGATGATGCTGGATGTTCTCCAGCCAGGAAATGAGTCAGGCTCTATCTGACTTGCAGTAGCTTCTAATATACACTACGAAAAGCTCACAGTGTGCAGTGAAAGCAATTTCAGTGCAGGTGAGGAGTCAGTACAACTGTGTAAGACTGAAAGTAAGGCTGGAGTTTAGCTTTAAATGGACCCTAGTTTATGTCACTGTCACTGATAATGAAATTATGCCCTTTTCCTAACCATGAACCTACACTATATTGTCAAAAGTATTGGGACATCCCTCCAAATCATTGGATTCAGGTGTTCCAATCAGCTCCATGGCCACAGGTGTAGAAAATCAAGCACCTAGGCATGCAGACTGCTTCTACAAACATTTGTGAAAGAATGGGTCGCTCGCAGGAGCTCAGTGATTTCATGGTACCGTGATAGGTTGCCACCTGTGCAATAAGTCCATCCATTAAATTTTCTTTGCAGCTTCATTTTCCGCAGTAAACTTTTAGTGAGGTTATAACAAAGTGAAAGCAACTGAGAACAACTGCAACTCAGCCACAAAGTGGTAGGCCACGTAAAGTGACAGAGCGGGGTCAGCGCATGCTGAAGCGCATAATGCGCAGAAGTCGCCAACTGTCTGCAGAGTCAATAGCTAAAGACCTCCAGACTTCATGTGGCCTTCAGATTAGCACAACATGAGTGTATAGAGAGCTTCATGGAATGGGTTTCTATGGCTGAGCAGCTGCATCAAAGCCTTACATCACCAAGTGCAATGCAAAGTGTCTGATGCAGTGGTGTAAAGCATGCCGCCACTGGACTCTAGAGCAGTGGAGACATGTTCTCTTGAGTGATGAATCACACTTCTCTGTCTGGCAATCCGATGGATGTGTCTGGGTTTGGTGGTTGCCAGGAGAACGGTACTTGCCTGACTGCATTGTGCCAAGTGTAAAGTTTGGTGGAGGGGGTTTATGACGTGGGGTTGTTTTTCAGGGGCTGGGTTTGGCCCCTTAGTTCCAGTGAAGGGAACTCTTAAGGCATCAGCATACCAGGACGTTTTGGACAATTTAGTGCTCCCAATTTTGTGGGAACAGTTTGGGAATCGCACAAAGCAAGGTCCATAAATACATGTATAAGTGAGTTTGGGGTGGAGGAACTTAGGCCTACACAGAGTCCTGACCTCATCCTGATATAACACCTTTGGGATGAATTAGAGCGGAAACTGTGAGCCAGGCCTTCTCGTTCGACATCTGTACCTGACCTCACAAATGTGCTTCTGGAAGAATGGTCAAACATTCCCATAGACACTCCTAAACCTTGTGGACAGCCTTCCCAGAAGAGTTGAAGCTGTTATAGCTGCAAAGGGCGGGCCAACTCAGTATTGAACCCTACGGACTAAGACTGGGATCCCATTAAAGTTCATGTGAGTGTAAAGGCAGGCCGACCAATACTTTTGCCAATATAGTGTAAATAAATTATCTGTCTTGGTGCATGTTTAAGTAGGACTTATAAAGCCTAATTTGTTTTTTGCCAAATAACATGGCTTCTTCTGTTTAGGACCCAGTATCGAACACTTCGCCAAGCCATAATTGACATGGTATTAGCCACGGAGATGACTAGGCATTTTGAGCATGTGAACAAGTTTGTAAACAGCATCAACAAACCCATTGCAGCTGAGGAGACCAACTCAAATGTAAGACATGGAGAAGAAATATTCCTTGGGTTCTATTTATGGAATGTTGGTATTCAAAGAGCACATGGAGTGAAGAATAGATTTCTCTTATCTCTCCTTTGACTTTCTTATCTTGGCTGTGTCCCAGTAATCCAGTGTGCTGTACTCAGCTTAATTCACCAAGTTGAAGTAACACATATCACATATTATTATTATACAGGATTTATATAGCGCCAACAGTTTGCTCAGCTCTTTACAATATAACGGGAGACAATACAGCAACAATACAGTTCAATACAAGAGGGATAGGAGGGCCCTGCTCCTTGGAGCTTACAATCTAAGATATGAAATGTTATGTACATTTATTCATTAAAGCAGAAACTTTTTCAGGTTATTTTCTGCTCATAATATATTAACACCTAACTAACAAGGTTTTTTTTACTGGTTAAATATGAAGGAAGTGCTCCTAAGATATTATAACGTGTAAGGACTCATGCACATTGGGCATTCAGCCCCAGTGGATGCGACTCCAGGGGTTTAGGTACAGGCAGACAGCACAGGTGCCTTGTCCAGTACTGCAGCTGACAGCCTGTCAAAGTCTATGACAGGCCAAAAGCTGCACTGAGCTGTACTCATGTTAGAACAGTATGCATCCAGGGACGAATGTCTGGAACTCAAGCAGGCTGTGCATACTACCCTAATCATTAGTAACACTTGGTGCACCGTACAGCCAAATCCAGCCACAGCAGCTCTCATCAGGACTGAACAATGCGCCTGTTCCCTCCACCTGCACCTAAACGTTGAGGTCTCGTGCACTGGGGCTAAATGCACAGTGTCATGAGGCCTACATGTGCATGTATCAGTATTTAGTGGTACAGTTTTGGATTTGTAGTTTTGTTGATACATGAATTGGACCATGCTTTACTTGGGGGGGGTTGCCTTCCTTTGGGTCAACTGTGGGTATAGGATAGTGCATATGGAGGTTTTCTTTTTGTGTGTGTTGTTTTTTTTTTTTATTATTATTGGTTGAACTAGATGGACTAGTGTCTTTTTTCAACCTTACTAACTATCTAACTATGTATCACTTGTGTTTGCAGAGTGAGGGCAGTGACTGTGAGTGCTCTCCGAGCATCAGAAACTCTCCTGAGAATCGTGTACTCATCAAACGCATGATGATTAAATGTGCAGATGTAGCCAATCCATGCCGACCTCTGGATTTATGTATAGAATGGGCCGGGAGAATCTCGGAGGAGTATTTCGCTCAGGTGGGTATGTCTGAAATTGCCATCAAATCAGCATGTAAGATGGTCAATTTGTGTAATATCAGTGTGTCTGAGAGAAGAGCACCTAACACAGCCAATGTAAAGCTGCCCATAGATGAATAAAAAAATGTGCCTGGTTCAGAAGGGACCTGCCTAATTTCAGTCCATCTACGGCTGTTCATGTATGACAGAAGTTGATTTAACGAGAGTAATGGTGTTCTGGAAATATTATAGATAGGCAACTCCTATCCTTATATTGATCACTGGTATCGAATTAACAATAACTACAGCAAATTATTAATAACACAAAAAGACTCTCAGCATCTTTCCAAATCACTGTTCAGTTTATTCGGAGCATTTAAAGGTTTTTTTTATAACCATACTTACTTAAGTATCACATTAATATTATTCCCCAAGAATAGTGCTGTGCTGCCCCCTAGTGACCCAAAAAAATACACTAATAATAAATAAACACCCTCCTGAGCATCAAATCCAATGTGTAATAGAATAAATCTCTGAAAGAAATAAAGTCATTAGTAAATAAAAAGACAGGCTGAGCCACTAAATCCAAATGATAAGTGAAACATATATCAAAAATAAACCAAAATCAAGAAGCAATAAATACCTGGCCAGCCTATAATAAACACCCGGCTGAGCTGAAGAATCAAATGTGAAAAACAACAAAAACAGTAAAATATGTGAAAGGTATATTAGAAATAAAACACGATCACAATAACAGTAAACACATCGCTGAGCTGTACTAAACACCTGGCTGACCTAAAGCATAAAGTGTGAAAATCAACAAAAAACAGTATTAAATAATTGTAAAACAAATACCCGACTGAGCAATCAGCCATCCAGTGGAATAAATATGTGGCGACCCAAGTAAATGTTCACTGGGCTAGATATTAATTAAAAAAAAAAAAAAAAAAAAAAAGCAGTGTCACGATTGCAAAATCGCCGCCACCAACATGCGACAATCTCACGACTGCTGCCACCAATATGTCACGATCGTGGCGTCAGACCCCAGACCTTCTCACCAAACTCGTGACTGATGGACCGGCCGATCCAGACCGCGATGTGAAGTGCGTAACAATGCCACACCCAGCTGCACCCTACACAGCGATTTTCCAGCTAATGGTCAACCGATCAATGTGTGCCGTCAGCCTGAGCGATTGTTACTGGGTCGGGTTAATTAGGCAACTAACCCTTCACTGCCACCACCCTTTTTTGTACAGAGAAAGGGGAAACTCTTTATCAAATATACACTGTAATGGTTGAAAAGTCGTCTGTCCAATACGGTCACCAAAGGCCGATTGGGCAGAGGATTAAACAAACACAGTAGTGTCTCTTTAGAGGCAGGAATTCGTAAATTGCAATTAAGCGCTTTAGAAACAGTTTAACACTTTTAGAAAGAAAGATTTATTACTAAAAGAGTCAAACAGGTGCAATAAAATATTTACAGAAAAAGATGTAACTAAGATATATATATATATATATACCGTATATACTCGAGTATAAGCTGAGTTTTTCAGCACATTTTTTGTGCTGAAAAACGGCCCCCTCGGCTTATACTCGAGTCAACATCTGCAGATAGTGGGGCGCGTACAGGGGGGGCGCGAGGCTCCGTCAAGGGGGGCGCGTACAGGGGTGGGCAGAGGGCTGCTGTCTCTTACCTGGCTCCGGTCCCACGATGATCCATCCAGGAAGCGCTGCTCCTTCCGTCACTCCGGCCACTCCCTCACTCCTGCCGCTCGGCTCCGCCTCCTCACCGGTGATTGGCCGCCAGAACTGTAGCTCAGGAAAGGTACACAGGCGGCCAATCACGGGCGAGGAGGCGGAGCCGAGCGGACCCGCGAAAATCGAGTGAGGGAAAAGCCGGTAAGTGTGCAGTGCAGAGGTGCTGCTGCAACCACATATGCTGGCTGCAGCAGCACCATACTGCAACAGGGGTCAGCAAGTGTCATTGGTGTCAGTGGGAGGAATAGTGCCGCATCATTGGTGTCACTGATACTAATGATGGGGCATTATTCCTCCCACTGACACCAACGATGGGGCACTATTCCTCCCACTGACACCAATGATGGGGCACTATTCCTCCCACTGATACTAATGATGGGGCACTATTCCTCCCACTGACACCAACGATGGGGCACTATTCCTCCCACTAACACCAACGATGGGGCACTATTCCTCCCACTGACACCAATGATGGGGCACTATTCCTCCCACTGATACTAATGATGGGGCATTATTCCTCCCACTGACACCAATGATGGGGCACTATTCCTCCCACTGACACCAATGATGGGACACTATTCCTCCCACTGATACCAATGATGGGGCACTATTCCTCCCACTGATACCAATGATGGGGCACTATTCCTCACACTGACACCAACGATGGGGCACTATTCCTCCCACTGACACCAATGATGGGGCACTATTCCTCCCACTGATACCAATGATGGGGCATTATTCCTCCCACTGACACCAACGATGGGGCACTATTCCTCCCAGTGATACCAATGATGGGGCACTATTCCTCCCACTGACACCAATGATGGGGCACTATTCCTCCCACTGACACCAATTTTTTACATTGACTAGTAGGTGCCTCATTTCCCACCCTCGGCTTATACTCGAGTCAATAGTTTTTCCCAGTTTTTTGTGGTAAAATTAGGTACCTCGGCTTATATTCGGGTCGGCTTATACTCGAGTATATACGGTATATATATATATATATATATATATATATATATATATATATATACAAAGAACCATAGCACAGCAAAGAGATAATAGGAAGGAAGTTAAAGGGTTAAGTTACTTGCCATTTAAGCCTTTGATGTAAGCAGATCCAAGTTGCAGAGCAGAATGGTGCTTTGATCTCCAGCTGTTAAGTTGAAGACTCCTCCCATTTTTTCCATCGTAACTTTTTAGGCCTGCTAGCCTGTGTTTTAAAGTCCCCCTCTGAGTAACTGACCAATACTCTGTTTAGTGAGGGATCGTCGGGCGGACTTTGAATTAGAACCAACATCTGTCATAATCCATGATATGAAACATAGGGGACAAACTGACTTGAATGTTCATTTAATTCTGTCACCTATGCTGCTAGGTTTTATGAGGTTACAATCTCTTTCAATTCCTGGGAAAAGCTGCCTTATCTGGGTTAGGAGGTGAGAAATTACACATGTTCTTGGGCAGCTAGGCTCTGTCTCTTTGGGGGGGCTTTGTAGCTCTGGGCCCCCTGCTGCTCTACCTGCCAGTGACACTTTTAACACACACACATCTGTCACTGTGCCTCTCAGGAAGGGAGGGGGAAGGAGAATGAGAAATGAGACACAATATATACTCCGTACCAAGATGGAGGTGCCTACAAAATGGTTGAACTGCGTACTTCACTGTGTTTTGCGCAGTTTTTGCGACAGGCAGCTCTACTGAATATACAAAAAACAGATAAATGGTGAATGATAGATAACACTTAATAAAGTGCAAAATGCAGTCCAAAATTTATATAGCAGTCTCTTCCTTTCAACATTTAAAGTAATGCACCAGTGACTTCAACAGTGTGCAGATCTATTGTGCTCCTTCAGCTTCAGGCATGCACAATCACCTTAATGGCTGACCCATAGAAAATATACGTCAACATGCACTCAATATGAATCCCAATGGATCCTCTGCTTCCACGGGTCTCTCCAGGCACTCTCAGGAACAATCCTTTACGTCCTCACTCCGATGAATAGATGCTCAAAAGAAAGGGAACTCCTCATAGTGTAGTAAGGCTTTATTACCATAAAAATGTATAAAAAATGCCACTCACATAGATACAAGGTTCACAGAACCTACTGCAAGCATTTAAGGGAAAAACAGGGTGAACACAGATGGTGGCTGCCGCACGCACCAGAAAAGATGTCACAAGCTTCTGTCCTACGCGTTGCTCCACGAGTCACGTGCCTTCTTCAGGGATATTTGTTTCACAAATGTATTCTATTACACATTGGGTTTGATGCTTAGGAAGGTGTTCATTTATTATTAGTGTAATGTTTTTGGGTTACTAGAGGGCAGCGCGGAACTATTCTTGGGGAGTTTTATTGAAGGGAGAAAACATTTAGGTGCTTGCAGCAGCTTATCATTTATTAATGGCAGCGCATGAGAATTATATCCTTATTAACATTATTATTATTACAGTTGTACTTTTAAGGTAACAAGGTATCAGACTCAAAGAATGCAACTACATGTTAAAAACATTATTAGTGCCATGTGCACAATGCGTACAGTGTGCAGTATATAAGCAAAGCATACGAAATGGAATACAATTTTATACAGAATTTAAAATTTCCTTCACAATGGAAAATTATCTTTTGCATCCTGTACATTCACAAAGCTCTACTCCAGCTTTAGAAAAAACAAACTTAGTTTTAAGAGGGGAAATTCTGAAGATAAATGAGCTCTTTATGCTGATCATGCCTTACTATTTTTGGGAAACGCTGATAGGTCCCTCTCTTCTCTTATGTCCATTATTTCTACATTTGGGGTCCTTTTTGGGATTCGTGATTAATTAGGAAAAAAATCTGTACTTCTTCCTGTAGATGCTCAACAGAGGGTCCCCAATGTGCTCAGCAGATAAAAATTGTACCAGCATTTAAATATTTAGGAGTTTGGGTTTATCCCAAAGTACAAGATTATTTGCAAATTATTTACAACCATTATTATAAAAATGTAAATTTAAGAGTAAGGCATGATGCAAACTCTCTCTGTTGTGGGTCGTACAAACCTTATTAAAATGATTTGGGCACCCCAATTGTTATATGTTCTACACAACTCATCTGTGTGGGTAACGCAGAAAAGGTTTTAAAAAGAATCTCTGTAAGGGAACCGACCCAGACTGTGCTTGAGTACTTCCATTAGACTACTGCTTCCCTGTCCGAACACCGACAACAGACACCACAGCAGACCATACAAGACTAGACGACACCAGTCTTGAAATAACCCAGGAGGTAGACTAGTTTATTTGTAAAACAGATACAAGATATATACACTCAGGGGACAATCCCCCCTCCCTGCATAATGACACGGGGCGGGGCAGTCTACATTTAGTAACAAGAGACACACAGGTATTCAAACTTCACACCAGCAGACAGTCCCATCAGGAGGGAGGGCTGCTGGAGACACCCCCCACTAAGCTAATACACATAAACACATACATCCCATAATAATTTGCTCCCAAGCCAAACAATAGAACAATGGGATGCAGCCACATAGCATTAAACAACAACAACCCCCCACCCCAATATTAGGACAGATCACCCTGTACCCCTAATAGGCACAGGGTGATTTACACATAAGAGGGATATGGGGAGTTGAGACAGGGGTCTCCCCCCTCTCCAAATTGAGCTGGTTTCCATGGGCACCTTACCCAACGTGACTCCTTTCACAATCTCTTTTCCGAATTTTAATTTGGAAAGGGAAACAATCTAGGCTTCGCCTTCCCATTTTACAGCTACCTAAGGATGTGGGGGATTGGCGGTTTCCTCTGTTAGATTGTATTTTCTGGCAGCCCAGCTACAACATTTCTCTGGTGGAGTATTATTAATGGCACAGATCCCATTCAAGCTGCAATGCTGTCTAGATTGAATCAATACCATTTGCTGACTCAGCTGGAAGCTGGGGGGGGGGGGGGGGGGTTAAAACTGCTCTCCAAGTCCTACACTACTACTTATGGTGAGGGTCTGGGATGAGATGAACGGAATCATGAGATATGATGGGATTTCCAGGTATCATCCCATTTGGGAGGTGTGGCGGTTGGAAGAACTAGGTAATTTGCAAGGCTTTGCTAGCTGGTACTGTACAAGTGTCCATTTTCTTTATCAGTTATATAATAATGACCATTTGAAATCCTTTAAAGATCTACAAGATGAATTTGGTTTCCCCTCTTGTAGATTTTTCCAATGCCATTAGCTAATCCATGCCCTTTCTCAAGCCAGAATTGCTTGCACAATTACCCCCTACATTTGAAGAGTGGCAAACGCAAGTTAAATCTACCCTGCTAAAAGAAAGACATATCTTGAAGCACTGAGGTACTCCCCTTACGTTTAAAGGATAAGTTCACCTGTTGTAACATGTTACACACATATTCAGGGTGTAACATGTAACATGGTACAAACTGACCTGCCCCCTCAACCCCTCCATCTTCTCCATCCTGCTAGCTGTTACAGTTTGAAAAAAAACACATTTGTACTAGGCTCCGCCCCGCCCCGCCGTATCATTCATTCACTGTATTCTGTGAATGGGAAAACTACGAGTTCCGGCAGCCTTTGCAACTGTCAGCTTGTAGTTCTCATTGAACTACCACGGTGCTCCACAGAGGCATGGTAGGTCATTGAGCCTCCCTGTCAGTATCTTCTTGCCCATATGGGATGTATGAGCAAGCAGATACAGTGACAGGTCAGAGGGAGACCTGCATGGCACCAGTGATCTGCTGATCGCTGATGTAATGCTTTACAGGCTCCAGAAACAAATAATAATAAATGCACTTTTTTTCACCTGCAAAACAATGTGCATTTAATATTTTTTGTTAAAAGGTGAACTTATCCTTTAACAAATTATGGGACCCGTGGCGTCAGACTTTGGGTTTACCCCCTTTAGCCCCTGTATCCCTGCAAATACTGCAATGGTAATTGTTCCGGTGAATTAACACTTAATTAGACAAGGTCTGTGCTTCTGTGGTGGCAGAGTTGGATGGCAGTGTCAAATGGTAGGGAGGCAGGTTTACCATGTACTAAACTTGTTCTTACTTATGGGCTTAGCAGTAGGTTGGCTCCCAGTTTGTCTCCATATGGATTGAATAATAAACATATATCTGGTATACCTTACCACAATATTGACTATTTTAAGTAAGAATGGTCTCTATGGGTGATTAATCCTTCACTGATTCATAGCTGATTTGCTGTTTATGTGTGCTGTACTGATACCATGTCTTGCTTTAACTTCCTTTAGAAGTTGTATGAGTATAATTACAATTGTACTACGTGAGGAGACATATATTAGACGTTTTGCTTTTTTTTAAATTTATTTTATTTTTGTTTTTTTGTTTAGTTTGTTTGGTTCTGTTGAATGTAAAGTGATAAAACCTTTAAATAAAAGTTATTTGGGAAAAAAAAAGAAAAAAAAAACACAGAGTATCAGTCTATATCCAGACTCTGGGATCCAGCACTGGTCCTCTTCCAGGATGAGCCTAGTGTTGGTCAGATCACTTTCTGTGAGCTCAGGGTGGTATGGAGATATACTCTTGGGGGGTGCATCATCAAGTCACCCTGGGATAACAGGAGAATGCTGCATGGAATGGCGCTGACCTTACATGGTACTAATATCTGAAGCATTCAGGACCACCTATTGGAGGAAGAAGAAGAACAGAACCAAGGCGTTATATGAGCCTCCAGAAGTTTTCAGGATTGAATATATGTTTACTGTGATAAAGGTGAGATGTTAGACTTTAAAGTAGAACTACAGGCAAAACTTTTTTTCCCATTTTGGATAGAGCAAGGGCAGATTATGATCCCTGTCAATTTTTTTTTTTGCCATCTGTGTCCCATAGTCAAATAGAAAGTGATAGAAAATCCCTGCAAACTAAGGGAATTTCATGGGGACCCCCAGGTCACCAGAGCAAGTGTCCCCATTGGAAAATGTCCCCTCTATTACTTTTTTGGAGATAACCCAAAATTTGGGGTTTTCTTTTACTTTCACTTTCAATGACAATGGTAAACAGGACAAATAGAGAGGGTGAATGTCCTTAATGGGGTCACGGACAGCAATAACAACCAATAAGCATTCTAATCCCTCTTCACTCTATTTAAAAACTAAAATAAAAAAGGTTTGCCTTCAGTTATACGTTAAGTGAAAACGTAATTTAAAAAAAATTATTATTATTATATGTAATTGTGGCACTTCAATATGTCTTTATTAGAATTTCAACAAGCAAGAAGAATAAAGGTAGACATCTTAGGTACAATCATTAGAGCGTAGACAACCCCCCCCCCCAAAAAAAAAAACTGTGTGTGTCGTCAATGGTACAGGGAAAATATAATACGCCCAAGTCCTCCCATGGTCCACTGAATCCTACCTCGAGAGAGTTAGAGGAAAGAAATGAAGAATGGAAAAGCGGGGATTGAGGAGGGGAGGGGAAAGGTTAAGATGCTGCATATAAAATGCTCAGCTAAAAGCCTTTTCTTTTTTTTTGCAGACCGATGAAGAAAAAAGACAAGGTTTGCCGGTGGTGATGCCAGTATTTGACCGGAACACCTGTAGCATACCTAAATCCCAAATATCATTTATAGATTATTTTATCACAGATATGTTTGATGCGTGGGATGGTAAGACATGATTTTCTCATTTTCTTTGAACTGCCAAACAGAACAATTCTTTGCTTAAATAGTACCATGCTTTTTGTACTGTACATTTTAGGGTTCATTTACTAAAGGCCTTTTAGACTTTATTTTTCAATGGAAATTTCATTTTGCAAGAGGATTTTCCCTTAGCTTACTGAATAAAGTGAAATTCTGCTTCCATCATATGCAATAATTTTTTTTTCCTTGCATGTCATTGGGTATTCTAGGAAATTTTCTGCATTTTCACCACTTTCTCTAAGCTAAGGGAACAAAATCCTTCGCAAAGTAAACAGCCTATTTGCCTTTAATAAATCAACCTTTATGTCACTAGAATGATTCATTGCCACCATGGATATCCAGTGTGTTAATGGGTGACACTGCTTCCTGTAAATTTTACTAATCCCAGTGTCTGCTTCACTTTCAGCTTTTGCACATCTGCCAAACCTCATACAACACTTAACTGAGAACTACAAGTATTGGAAGTCATTAGATGAGTTAAAGTGTAAAAGTCTCAGGTACCCATCTGACTGCAACAAATAAAGGAAGCTCAGTAGCCTCTTGACCTATCTGCACTGTGAACCATTTCCTTGTGGAGTGTTACAGAATAAGGGAATACTATATTCTGAACTGTGGATGGAGCAATTGTACAGTGAAGACTTGTTCTAAGCCACCCGTTGAAGCCCACATGAAGGCCCGGATTTTAATTCAAAGGGAATAATCTACTGGTGGATGCTCTTATTGCTCTTATTTCTAAGTTTATACAGCATTTTACACTGGTTACTGACATCCACAAGCAGAAATCTAAAGACAATTTTGCAGCTTTAGTATTAGTTGGAACTGTAGGACTGCATCAACTTTTTTGTTTTTGTCAAGCTTGACTTATCATGGTACTTTTGTTTTGGCAAGAATCTAACTATACGTCATTACAATTGTTCATGCCAGCTACTGTACACATTTTTGGTACATATACGGTATATATATATATATATATATATATATATATATGGTACGACTTTTGGAGGGAGAAAGGGAGAATTAATGGAGTAGCCTTTCTAATTTCCTACTGATCTGTTTTATGCATACAGGGCTACAATTGTGGGTGTAAAACCAGTGACTCAGGAATATAGGTGTTATTTGCAATAGCATGACACATTTCTTGTTCCTGTTCTAATTTCAGCATTGTAATATCAGGCAGCCTCAAAATGTTGTTTAGGAGGTGCTGTTGAAGCAACCAGTCATGAAATATTGAACCTAAAACCCTCTACACGTATTAGTATGAGATAGGTAGCCCAAGTTAATTTGGGTGTGTTCTACGCCATAGACAGCAGGTAGAGCCTATGGAGGTCAAGGCCACCCCTACCATAGGGAAAGATATGAGTCTTGCATTTGTTGGCTCAGTTCTGGGACAATAATAGTTTTCACCTTGCTCAAATGCCTTATTACATATTTTCCTAACAGGAAGGGAGCCATGATTAGGAAGACACGGTGCCTTTTGTATTGTTTGTAGCTAGATGCATAGGATCCAAGTTGTTTCTTTAAGTGCAGAATGGAAAAAAGTGGCAGGAAATGGAAAACATCATGGGTGGCATAAAGAAACGTTTTATTTTTAGACTACTACAGCAGAAGATTCACATGTCATTGTGCCAGTGGAGTATGGGAAGGTCACATGTATCATTGTCTGCTTTAACACCACCACTTTTTTCTTTTTATATGCCAAGTTGTGTGGTCATAGGGCTCACCTATCCAAATCTTCTTCCTTGGTGCTGATAGGCTGGGTTGGCTGAGCTATCATCCTGTTAATAGCTTCCATCTATCAACCACAACCATCCCTACCTATAGCTTCATAGAGCTTAAAAGTCCATTATCAGTCCATGATCTGATCAAATCTGAACAAATTCCATTAGGCATTCCAGTTTTTCAGCTTACTCATGTCCATTCACAGAAAACCCTGATTTAGGACTCTGAGAAGTTTTAGTGAAAATAAAAATTCCAACATCAAAGTAAAACGTAAGGGGACTGCCATCTAAAAATGCGTGTCAACTGTCCGTTATGTTAACCCACTAGCTTCAGTACATTGAATTACTCTTTTGTAACAAGTTGACAGACCAAGAAAGTCAGAAGTCTTGATGTGCATACTTATTCTAGGTCAATGACTTAGTGTTGAAACATGAGGGCCATGCAACTAAAGGTTTTAGCAGCATGGGTCAACAATAGAAGCCTACTAGTTTCTCCCAATACTGGTTTCCTTTAGGGCAGGGGTATCCAAACTATGGCCCTCCAGCTGTTGACTACAAGTCCCACCATGCCTCTGCCTCTGGGTGTCTTGCCTGTGGATGTCAGAGTCTTGCAAGGCCTCATGGGACTTGCAGTTCCTCAACACCTGGAGGACCATAGTTTGGACACCCCTGCTTTAGGGGATGTACTTACCATTTTCTGTCATCTTCACATACAAACTAACTAGCAGATCATGGCTGTGTCTTTCAAGCATAGCATGCTTTGCAATCTGTCATTAGCATTAGTACAGCAGTCTTTTTTTGTTTTTTACTTGTATTTTTTCCCTTACAGCGCTGTAACCCTATTACAGGAAGTAGAAAATTAATGGATCTACTGGCTATATTAAAAGGTAATAACACTATGGCGCAGAGAGTTGTAAAAATACTGCCGTGGTAATGACAGACTGGGGTTATTCACTAAAACTACATGGTGCAAAATCTGGTGCAACTCTGCATAGAAACCAATCAGCTTCCAGGCTTTATTTCAAAGCTTAATTGAAGCTGAAGTTAGAAGCTGATTGGCTACCATGCACAGCTGCTTCAGATTCTGAGTGCACCAGTTTTAGTAAATTCCCCCTTCAGTATCATAAATGTCATTTTTGGTTCTTCCCTATATACAGTCAGGTCCATAAATATTGGGACATGGACACAATTCTAACATTTTTGGCTCTATACACCACCACAATGGATTTGAAATGAAACAAACAAGATGTGCTTTAACTGCAGACTGTCAGCTTTCATTTGAGGGTATTTACATCCAAATCAGGCGAACGGTGTAGGAATTACAACACTTTGTATATGTGCCTCCCACTTGTTAAGGGACCAAAAGTAATGGGATAGAATAATAATCTTAAATCAAACTTTCACTTTTTAATACTTGGTTGCAAATCCTTTGCAGTCAATTACAGCCTGAAGTCTGAAATGCATAGACATCACCAGACGCTGGGTTTCATCCCTGGTGATGCTCTGCCAGGCCTCTACTGCAACTGTCTTCAGTTCCTGCTTGTTCTTCTGAGGCATTTTCCCTTCAGTTTTGTCTTCAGCAAGTGAAATGCATGCTCAATCGGATTCAGGTCAGGTGATTGACTTGGCCATTGCATAACATTCCACTTCTTTCCCTTAAAAAACTCTTTGGTTGCTTTTGCAGTATGCTTTGGGTCATTGTCCATCTGCACTGTGAAGCGTCCAATGAGTTGTGAAGCATTTGGCTGAATATGAGCAGATAATATTGCCCGAAACACTTCAGAATTCATCCTGCTGCTTTTGTCAGCAGTCACATCATCAATAAATACAAGAGAAGCAGTTCCATTGGCAGCCATACATGCCCACACCATGACACTACCACCACCATGCTTCACTGATGAGGTGGTATGCTTAGGATCATGAGCAGTTCCTTTCCTTCTCCATACTCTTCTCTTCCCATCACTCTGGTACAAGTTGATCTCGGTCTCATCTGTCCATAGGATGTTGTTCCAGAACTGTGAAGGCTTTTTTAGATGTCGTTTGGCAAACTCTAATCTGGCCTTCCTGTTTTTGAGGCTCACCAATGGTTTACATCTTGTGGTGAAGAATTCTCTTGATTGTTGACTTTGACACAGATACACCTACCTCCTGGAGAGTGTTCTTGATCTGGCCAACTGTTGTGAAGGGTGTTTTCTTCACCAGGGAAAGAATTCTTCATCATCCACCACAGTTGTTTTCCGTGGTCTTCCGGGTCTTTTGGTGTTGCTGAGCTCACCGGTGCGTTCCTTCTTTTTAAGAATGTTCCAAACAGTTGTTTTGGCCACGCCTAATGTTTTTGCTATCTCTCTGATGGGTTTGTTTTGTTTTTTCAGCCTAATGATGGCTTGCTTCACTGATAGTGACAGCTTTTTGGATCTCATCTTGAGAGTTGAAAGCAACAGATTCCAAATGCAAATAGCACACTTGAAATGAACTCTGGACCTTTTATCTGCTCATTGTAATTGGGATAATGAGGGAATAACACACACCTGGCCACGGAACAGCTAAGAAGCCAATTGTCCCATTACTTTTGGTCCCTTAACAAGTGGGAGGCACATATGCAAACTGCTGTAATTCCTACACCGTTCACCTGATTTGGATGTAAATACCCTCAAATTAAAGCTGACAGTCTGCAGTTAAAGCACATCTTGTTCGTTTCATTTCAAATCCATTGTGGTGGTGTATAGAGCCAAAAATGTTAGAATTGTGTCGATGTCCCAATATTTATGGACCTGACTGTAGGTTTACTTTAAGGCTTTGTGCACACTGGGGCTTTCTTAACCTCCCTAGCGGTCTGATTATGTCAGTATTTCTGTGCTCAAAGTGGTAGATTTATTTGCATGGAAATATATTCTTTTTTTATGGTAGGCCTGTAATTTTTAGGAATAACTCACTGAAATCTGTCCGAACAAGAGTCTATTAAACATCCCGGGTATGTTACAATTTGAAACACGAAATCATAAATTATAATTTAATAAATAATCATAAAAAATAATAATATAATAATAATAAATTTAATTCAATAATATAATCAAACCAAAAACACTGAAATTTGAAATAGAGCGCCAAGTTCGCACATCACTGAGCAAAGTTGCAAAATCGTTTTCAGTGTCTAATGACGAATTTCCCCACGGATCATCACTCAATTCTGCAAGTAGTTCTAATTTACTATCGCTGTTCTCTAGCTGGTCTAAAACTGCTTTTGACATAAAGGGACGCTTTTTGGACGCCATGGACATTTCTCAGTTTCCAGGCAGAAAGAACAGTAAAAATGCCGGCAGCGCACAGGACAAAGCACTCGGGACAAAATGTATGTGAAATGGTTTGATACAGGAATGTTTTACTATGTAATTTTAGTGAATTTAGTGAATATCACATTTTGACATTTTTAAATTTCCTGCCGGTTACGTCCCCGTACGTCCCGACGCTTGCAGGGAATGGAACCCGGAAGACGGATGCCGGCATCCGCCGGAGGACATTACAGGGGACACTGCAGGAGGGACATCGCGCGGGAGCGCAGGACAAGGTAAGTGAAGAAGAGATCCCGGAGCAACGCTGCATGATATTCCCGAGTGTAGCTCGGGGTTACCGCTTGTGGTGCTGAAACTTTACCCCGAGCTACACTCGGGAATACCGCCAGGGGGGTTAAACATGTTTCTCCTAGCAGGAAAAATGCAGCTTTAAAAATGCACCTAAGTCGTGAAAATGCGTTTAGGCACATCAAGCACTTAGGTATTTATTTCATTGGCTAGAATATTAATTTAT